TTAAAAGCATAAAACTTCACCGATTACGAGTCGATGAGTCCTATATTAGAAAGAAAATGATGACAATCTTATTTGCGCATTTTGTCAAAACTTAACGCATTTCTCATTATCAAACGGATTGGTGCGGAGAAATAATTGAGCATGACTAGAATATGTGAGCTTTTTGCATATGCCCTTTGCTTTTGGTCTTTCAGTCTCAAGGAACATGATCAATAGTTCAAGTGTTTCAGTACCATGCCATATCGTCCTTGAGTTTCTTGTGAAATTTCCGCATTAGGTGATGAAAAAGATGACGAATATTAATTTTGCCGCTTAACCTTGTGAGCTACTTATCATATCTTGCACTCGGTAGTTTGTTCTTCTTTTGCTTCCATGCTATCGCTTTTAGGGACGTTTTCTCACTTCATGAATAGCACGAACATGCCAAAAACACCAATGGGGCATTCAATGGTAATGTGAGATCTATTGAACAAATGTATAGTATACAGAGTAAGAATATACTTTAAGTGATAGCATTGAAAATAAATATTTAAATATTACTCTGCATGAAACAAGTATGAGAAATTCAGTAATGTGTAGGAGATAATGGGCGTGTTTTCCATTTAGCGGTTAGTGGTTGCTAACGGATTATGTTAGCAGATTGTCTATAACTGGTTCAGTCAGCGTTTTTAACTAGTAGAATAAGTTGGCGGGTTGTCAGAAGATGGTTGATGATTTAACTGTTTGACCATAAAATTAGTAGAAAACGTCATATTTCAAAATGCTAACCCAAAACATTCTTATTTGCAATATTTCAATTTTAGTGTTTCCGTCCAAACACGCTAGTGCTAAACAATTACTCCGTATTTAGCAAACTACTTTTCACTTGTTGAAAACGTTAAAAGTGATCAAATCATCATTTTTCGATTGAAACGTCATTTACCAAACATCCATAATATTGGCAAGGAGGGTGAAAGAACCTTACATTTATACTACCTACAAGATAAAATGAAGGTATAATAGTGTATTTAACTATTTATATGAGAAAATGCTCCATCATATAAAAGTGGGTAGGTTGTAAAAGACCGTCGTTCGAAAGAGTGCCACTTGAGCGACAGAGCAGACTTCGAGTTCCCCGAAAAAGTTGACGCCGTTGGCACCGCTACCTGCCGGAATATTCTGCTTCCTGAGGTATTTTATGGATCTCTATTTCTCCATCTTCGTGGAAGTCAATATGTAGGGACTCATTGATGCTTGATTCTATTTTTTCACCATTTAAAGAATGAGTAATAAAAAGGCGTGGACTTTGTAGCCTTTTGTGCTTTCTAGGCTAAAAACTCAACGAGCAGCCGAGGATTGATCTTCTTACAATGATAACCTCACCAGAGTGCTATTATTGTAATACTCCGTATTCAGTAGACCTTTTGGTGCTATTATTGTAACTAGTAAACTCACTCGTGCGATGCACGGTCATAGATTTTTTTCTTTCAAATTTATTTGTGTTCACTAATTCAAATTAGACTATCAATATATGACAACATTTGTCTCCATTGAATACCGATGTAGATCAAAGCAATGAATGAAACACACTTATAATATTATGGTTAAAAACAGAGCAGTAACCATTATTTAAAAGATAAAAAACATCCAACAAATACGTAGAAACCATAACATTGTAAATATGCATTTCATGTAAACCTAAACATTGTTGAATACTTATTTGAATACAACATTCTGAGTCTTGTCAGTGGTTCCTTCATCTTCATCAACAATTAGAATTTTCAAACCACAACAATTGGTAACCCTTGATACTGCAACATACAACTGTCCGTGCGATGCATGATTGGTGAAATTTCACGTGTATAAAAAACAAATTACGATTTATATATCATGTGTATAAAAAACAAATACATAACTCTAATTTAATCATTTAGAATTATACCCCGTAATCATCTAAAACTTGATGTAACATGAAACATGTCTAATATGATTTATCGTTGATTATGGAGGTAGTACACAAATTTTTATAACACCATAAAATGGTAAGTAGCACACAGTGGCACAGTATAAACATAATTTGAAACGCACATAATTTAACGCTAAATGTTAAGAAACACTTCTTTATACACAAAATTTTTTGTTTCGATGTTCGTTCCTCTAATATTGGTTATTCTAGACACAATCACGTAAAGTTAATCATGACTAAAACATGCTTTTTGAACAACAAACCAACTCACGATAATGACATATTAAGTCATTTTTGGGTATTATAATATCCGGAATTGGAACGCCAATCTGACATATGAAGGTTTTAAACAATGTTTGAGAATTAACACCTTCTGTTCCGCACTACCCCCTGTTAAAATCCTTTCTAGAAAAATGTTTTGCTAGTACTAGTAATTCACTCACGCGATGCATGAATGATTGTGACAAACATTTTTTTCATTTCGAAAGTATATATATATATATATATATATATATATATATATATATATATATATATATATATATTGAAGGTAAATTTATTAATACGAATTGCATATATGACTTTTTAATTGCGTGACCCTACATTTATGACTAAGTAATGAATTGCATATTTAGACAAATTGTCTTTGTAAACAGGTAAATCAGGGAGGGTGCAAATATGTGAAAGTGTGTTATGTCATTCTTAAACTATACTTAAATACGAAGTACAAATTTATGAGAAATGTTCAAATAGGTCCTTCTACAATGGTAGAAGACAAATTTAAGTATTTTTGCATATAATTTTCTGAGACAACTACATAATTATGACTAAAATAAAGATTGTTTATGAAACATGACATCTTAAATATAGTGACTATAGTAGTTACTTTTTCACGTAACTTATGTTCAATTTTCACATCATGTGACAATGACATTATATCCATATTAATTTTAGTTAGATTTGAAATTAAAAAACAAACTTATAATTTTAATCGAATCATTTAGAATTATACTGAGTACAATAATAAAATTTGACGTAAAATAAAATATATTCAATGCGATTTACCAATGATTACAGAGCAGTACATAAATTTTTATCGCTCCACAATAGTAAATAGCATGCAGTATAAATATGAATTGTAAACATATCGCATTCCATGTTAAATGTTACTCCCTCCGTCTCCCTATTATTGTCTTATTTCCTATTCACTTGGTCAACACAAATCACTCTTAATCTCTTACTTTATTTATCAAATTTTTATCAATCTTGATTCTGGTTTTGCGACTTTGTAAACCTTTTAATGTAGTTTCTGAATATGCAATTTTTTTTTCCTAAAAATAATTCTAGTGCGGACAGGGATCTGTTTGCTTTATCGTCAATCAATCATCGTAAACCGCAATGAGACAATAAAAGGGGACGAAGGTAGTACTACTTATTAAACTCCTCCTTATACACAATCTTATCAATTTCAATGTATATTCCTCAACATTTTTTTGCATTTTTTAATGCTCTATGATTGGTTACTTTTAACATACAATACGGTAACACATACAGGGCTTGATGATGAATACTCTAATTGATCCTGAGATTGCTTTGGACGTCACATGTTCCCTTCCTCCAATGATCCTGAAAAATTGTTTGAAGTTAGTCAAAAAATCACCCAAATAATCAGGGGCAGAGTCAGGGCACTGGGCTGGACTGAGGCAGTACAAAGAATATTTTTGGGAATAAAATTAAACCGAATTTTTTACATTAAAAATTAAGTCATTTTTTAAATTTGGGGTGAGCCAAGACCTAGGTTGGCACCCCTATCTCCGCCCATGCAAATAATTCTTTGGGGAAATAATAACCGCGAATGGGAAATTAACAATAACAAACCATGAACTCAACATAATTTGCACCAATATTTTTTTCATCAATCCCGATAGCAGTTCATCCAAAATGCGACGTTAACATACGTCCCTTATTTGCATACGTGCAATGCATTTGTACAGGGTCCATTTTAAAACATGATCTCTATTATTTAAGACTACATTAAAACGGGTCGGGAAATGCTGAACTCGTCCTATTAAAATATTGTAAAATAACTAAAAAGGACTAAATAAGTTGGAAAAATTATACACATGACTTGCTCGTTTTTATTACCTAAAACGAAGTTACTACCTATCAAAATATAATAAATGCTAAACAATTTCAAGTCCGCTTCAAGTCCTATTTTGAAATAAACAAAGATATTTAATATCACAAAATTATTTTATGTCACAGAGTCCTAATATAACACAAAAAATGAAATTTTAACCCAAATCCTAAAAATGAAATTTTAGCCCATACTAGAAAAAATACGGAGTAGCAGATCACAAACAAGTACTAGGGGTGGGATCGGTCCGGTCCGGGTCGGGTTTTTGCTAAACCCGGAAATTACCCGTAAGGCATCGGGTTATGAAAATTAGGGACCGAAAAAAGCCCACTGCATTCGGTCCGAGTCAGGTTTTTTGTAGCCCGGGTTCGGTCCGGGTTCGGGTTGGATCGGTTAAAGCCCGAATGTGAAATCACTCATTTTTCTTTTATATTTTAAAATCTATTTTCAAATAAAATTAATAAAAAGTACAAACCACAAATAAAATTAATAAAAATCACAAATATTAGTCTCCAAAATCACCAAGAATTCAAATCCAAAGAAGACAATTATCATAATATTTTGTTTAAGATGCATAAAAATAAGTAATATAGGTGTTCTAAAAATGTTATGAAATAATTTTTTTGGATAAAAATGTGACTAAAGTTACTATAAATATGTTTTCATGGTCATTACGGTAAATAAATTGAACATATTTGTAGTCACTAAAAGTTATTAAGTCATTTTTTTTCGTCCATCATGATTATAATCATATATTAGGAATCAATTTATAAATTATATTGATATATTATATTGATTTTATATTAAGACTAATTGTTTCGGGTTTTATCGGTCCGGGCCGGGGTATAGATTTTAGGGCCCGTTAAAGAGCCCGAAATTTCGGGTTCGGTCCGGGTTTTTTTTCCGGACCGGGTCAGGATCCGTTTCCGGGTTTCCATGGCACACCTAAAATTACGCGGACAACACTCCATCAAGCAACCACCAACAAGGCCGAACACGTTCCGAGCTCAACGGCTGCCGTCACAGGTAAGATCCCTGAACCAAAAACACACGATTGTTCTACCAACGTTCTTAGGGATTGATCTTCTTACAACGATAACCTCACCAGAGTGCTATTATTGTAATATTCAGTAGGCCTTTTTGGTGTACTGCTGATATTATGACTAGAGGGGTTTGAAAATTACGGCCAAAGCATAAAATTTTAACACATTTTTATATATATATGCACATCATAATATTGTTTCTGGGTGACGAAGCTCTTCAAGTTTTTCCGGTTTTCCCCTCTTCCAAGCCAATAAGCAGCCACATAAGAAGCTGTTCTCTTTGTCTTATTCTTATTACTTATTCTTATTTTATTCAGATTAGATCAGAAAAATTTGGATCATATTAGATCAGATCAGAAAGATCCAGATCAAATCAGATCAAAAACATTCAGATCAGATCAAATTAGAAACATTCAGATCAGATCAGATTAGAAACATTCAGATCAGATAAGAAACATTCATAGCAAATCAGAAAATTCTATTATTATTATTATTATTCGAGAGAATTCCCTAAATAGGAGTAATAAAGTTTTGAAATTCCAAAATAGGAGTATCATGTTTTTTATTCCTTGAATAGGAGTAATTTTCTGCCAAGTTTGACATTACTAGGATTTAAAACATGTCATTTTTTCCTAAACTTGTCAGATTACTCCTATTCAGGGAATAAAAAACATATACTCCTCTTTTGGAATTTCAAAACATTGTTGCTCCTATTTAGAGCAATTTCTATTATTATTATTAGTATTATTACTATTGTTACAATTGTTACTATTATTACTATTATTACTATTATTACTATTATTACTATCAGTATCACTTTCCTACTTTCCCAAGTCTCATATGGAATAAATTTTTTCTTGATCATTTGGATGGGGATTCTCGAGTGAGCGAGTGCCGTATTCCATAATACAACAACAACAACATCCAAGCCTTAATTCCAAAAGAATTTGGGGTTGGCTAACATGAATCGATCTATGATATTGATGCCAAACAAAGAAGACGAACAAGAAAGGGAAGAACAAAAGGGGAATAAAATAAAGATAAATGTACATAAGATAACAATAACACAACAATATAAGAAAGATAAAAGATAAAAAAAAGAGCATAAAAAAGCTAAAAGATAAAAATAACATAAGAATATAAAAACATAAAGAAGATAAATTATAAAAGTAAAAAGAAAAAAGACATCAATCGTACACACGGATGTGCGCCCTCCACTTTGCTTGTCGTATTCCATAATACAGAGTATAATTTAATTATTGGAATTCAACCTGGATACATTTAACTTAAATTTAGTAAATAGATTTGGTGTTGAAAACAGAATATCTATACACAATATAAATATCTTAGAGAGAGATAATGAGAAAATACCACCTCTGTTATCAACACCATTTTTTTTTTCATTTACCCCAGTGCCACAAAGGCTCCCACCTACGGTGGGGTAAGGGGGGGTCAGATGTACGCAGTCTTACCCCTGTACTAAAGCACAGAGAGACTGTTTCCGGATGACCCATAGTGAAAATCCCATCCAAAATTGCATGGACTGACTGCTGCTTCATAACAAAGAAGCGCAGACAATTTAGTGAGCCATTTTGCTTTATTCCATCACAATCTCAAGCCAAAAAATAAAGATTGTGATGGAATAAAGCAAAATGGCTCACTAAATTGTCTGCGCTTCTTTGTTATGAAGCAGCAGTCAGTCCATGCAATTTTGGATGGGATTTTCACTATGGGTCATCCGGAAACAGTCTCTCTGTGCTTTAGTACAGGGGTAAGACTGCGTACATCCGACCCCCCCTTACCCCACCGTAGGTGGGAGCCTTTGTGGCACTGGGGTAAATGAAAAAAAAAAAAATTTGGTGTTGATAAAAGAGGTGGTATTTTCTCATTATCTCTCTCTAAGATATTTATATTGTGTATAGATATTCTGTTTTCTCTAAGATATCTAACAGATAGAGATGTTTTCATTTTCAGATTAGGCACTTGGGTTCAGACAGGGGGATATGCCTTATCACGTTCGAGAAAATCTGTTGATAGGTAACATAAATTATGCTGCTGAGATTCTCCAACAAGGCAGCGAACAAATTACACATATATTATCAGTTCTTAGTTCGCCTTCAATTTCAACTTTCACTGAATGGCGTAGTGATGTTGTGATCCCTACCAAGGAGATTCGTAAGGTTTATTTTGGAGATAATGCCACTGCTGAGCCAAACAATTTTCTATCATCCCGGAAGCTTCTATACTCATTGGAGTATGCTGGGAAAGATCTAAAGTTTGTGAGGATGGCAGTATCTTTAAGAGATATGGAGAGTGAGAATCTGCTGGATTATTTGGAGGTGTGCTTGGATTTCATTGAAGAAAGTAGAAAAAAAGGGTGTGTACTTGTGCATTGCTTTGCTGGTGTCTCAAGAAGGTGCCTATTAAAATTTATGTCTGAAGTTATATTGATTTCGAGGAATATACCTTAGTCTATCAAGATAAAAGAGACCATTGTTTCTAAAGATAAAGCTCATGCTATATTGATTTATTATTATTGGCCAAATATCCCAAAATGAACTTAAAATTTCAACTAAAAATCAAAATTGGCCCTAAATTATCGAGTGTCCCATAGGCCTTTAGTTTTAGTAATATAACTCAATACCAACAACAAGAACAATTGCAGTGGTTAAAGAGGACATTATACTTCCAAACTGTTGATATGCTTTGGGCTGAATTATTTGGATCTAGGAAGTGTGTTTATCATTTTAGCTGGTCTTCTTCGCATATACCTTTATTGACGTTACTAATTTCTCTATTGTGTTTGAGACGCTTGTGTGCAGATTGCATAGCATGTCCGAAGCCAATCTGGATTTTATTTTGAAAGTTTATGATCATCTTTAATTTATTTTTAGTTAGTTTAGGAGCTAAATAGGACACTTGATGAGTTCGGGGTCAAACGTTGTTAAAAAAAGTTCAGGGTCAACTTTGGTATTTAGCCATCTTGGAAGTTGGAACTAATAAACTGTCCCACAATGGCACCACAAGTCCAAAAGTTTGTTTTGTCACAATCTGTATCTTAAGTCTAAAGTTGATGGCAACCACATTTTATTAGGTGTCTTGCCCCTATGAGCTTTATTTGCATGTTAGTCCATGTGACATGTTTATATTTCTTCTGAGGACTGATGATAAAAGATTTTTTTTTTAGTTGACTCACTGATTTGGCAAAAGTGTGTTTCTAATGAGTATTTTGGTTGTCTGTCTTGTTGTTCGAGATCATAGGGAAAGCAATCTCATTTAGTCACACATTATAAAATGTTAACACTCAGTATTTTCTATTGTGTTTTGGCGCTAAATAGCATTTAGTCTGTTCTTGAGAAATTGTATTTCTTTTCCCCTGGGATTCATTTGGAATGCAGAAAATGCTAGGTAATGAAATTATGGAGGAAATGTAGAAGTAATTAGAAGCAAATCTAACGTTGAGGAAATAAAACCTTGTCTCAAACTCAATAATTTTATTTTCAAAATTTGTTTGAATTCATTATTTGTTTATGTATATCATATAAATATTATGCAATCTATAAACATTTGTAAAATAATTAAAAAAATGAATCAAACTTCATTCTCCTTTGCATTTCCTAGGTAAATACAAATACAAAAAACAACTTTCATTATCATTTCCCCCCTTTCCATATTATTTTCCAAGATCCAAACACAGCCTTAGTTGTCATATTTTGGCTATTTGTTCTAACTTTCCTTATTGGGAAGAATTTATCTAGTTTTGCTAATTGAGGTTGATACTTTATCTTGTTAAGCTTGTTGGTTGTTCGGTCCCATTAATGGTGCAGCTTCTTCTCATCTCTCACCAAAGAAACATCGGAAGCAAGCACTCTAAATTTTGTATCGAGGATGAGAATTGAGGAGATATATTCCTGTTTGACTTGGAGTCTACATTTTCCATATGTGCCTATTCAGTATATGCGTGCCAAATCTGTTGCACTTTTGTTCTCTCATCACCCTCATGTTATTTTCCCATTTCTCTTCCAATTAGAACATTCTCTCTTGATGCATACATATTCTCCCATCCTGCTTTGACAACTATGACAATCCCTGGGGATTAACATCCTTCTTTCCATCTTCTATAGTGCATCCATGGTTGTAGCATACTTGATGAGATCTGAACAGCTGCCATATAAAGGTACTATTTAATAGTAAATTTTTGTACCTTTCGGGCTTGTTTGGCTTGGGGATTTTGGAGGGAGGGATTTTTTTATAAATTTAACTATATTTGTTAGTTTCAGAGTAGAAATAACTATATGGTTAGTATTATGTATTCTTATATAGTTTTTTATCTTTACTTTTTTGAGTCATCTAAAAGTCAAATTGTCAAAATATTTTTTAAAAATAAACCCCTTCCCTCCCCTCATAAACTGCAAATCAAACCCTAACGGTTTATTGGGGCATTTCATCATGGTATGTTGCTGAGATGGCCCAATAAACCTTAATATAATAAACAGTGGTTTTAACAGGAGGGACAATTTTATCTAATAATAAGAATAGAGGAACTAACTTTACAATTTCCGAAATACCTGTCCCAAATTAAACTGTTTGTGCTTCTTTGTAATGAAGCAGCAGTCAGTCCATGCAATTTTGGACGCGATTTTCACTATGGGTCATCCGGAAACAGTCTCTCTGTGCTTTAGTATAGGGGTAAGACTGCGTACATCCGACCCCCCCTTACCTCACCGTAGGTGGGAGCCTTTGCGGCACTGGGGTAAATGAAAATGATGATTTGTGAGGCTTTTCACATCTTATTTATGATATTTCTTGAAAGATAAGACAAATTGCCCATCATTTGTGTTTATTATGCCCATTCACTCAGACTAACATGCCCTGCTTCTTTTCTCCTGATTCTGAAGATGCCATTGAATCTCTATCTCAAATCTGTCGTCAATCTGTTTGCCCAAATGATGGTTTTGTAGATCAGGTGATTTATGACCTCACAACTCATTTGTCTTATGCATGTTTCGAGCAGCTTCTCTGTGACGTGAATTTTTAGTAATTGTTTCTATCCTGTGGGCCACAGCTGAAAATGTTTGAAGAAATGGAATTCAAGGTTAATCGTGCCAGCCCCATATACAAACGCTTTCGTTTAAAACTACTAGGTCCATTTTCTTACCTCATTTATCTACGAACTTTATTCATATAGATATTATTATGCTTTTCTGTCATGTGACTAAATGCTTTAAGCTCGTGTACTAGTATTTTCCTTCTTGAGTTTCTTGATATTTTTCTCTTAAGCCAATTGTCTTGTTATTAATTTCTTGAATGTTAACATCTGAAAAGTTAGACTTTACAGACCAAATCCGCGTTGGTAGCTGTTGGAATTGATATGTGCCATAAGCCCATACCATGTGTGAACTTTTGACATTCCTAAGATGAAATTACTTTTATCTGAGTTCATCTTAACTGACCTCAAACTCTTTTGGGACTAAGGCTTGGATGTTGTATTTTTTTTCTTCAAAAAAGTGTCCCAAACAGTTTGATATTTACCGTGGCTAGAATTGTATGGAGTATGTAGTTAGAAAATAAAGGTCGCGTTAGGACTTAGGATTGATTATTTAAAGAGTTGCACCTTGTTAAAAATAAAAAAAACTCCATCCCACAAAACCTTGCCAACTTTCCTTATTTAGTTGTCCCAAAAAACTTTATCATTTCCATTTGCAATAATAAATACTCCCTCCATCCCGAAAAATTCTTCCAACTTTTCTTTTTGGGTCGTCCCAATAAATTCTTCTAACTTTCCAAAAAAGGAAAAGTAACCCATACTCCATACTCAAAACCCTAATGTGCCCTCCCCTTTTAAAAATACTCCGTACTCCTCCCTATTCCCATCTCCCATTTACCCCATCCGCACCCCTCTCTCCCCTTTACTCCCACTGCCTGCCTCTTTCTCTTTCACTGCATCGGTCTCTTTCTCAATTACTCCAACCGTCTCCCTCTCTCATTTACTTCAACCGTCTCCCCCTCTGCAAATCTATTTACCCTTCCGCCTCCCTCTCTCTCTCACGATCTTTTGGATCTAAACCCTAATAAATTCACTCGCAGACCCTATATCGGTACTCCATCCCACCTGCATAGATCAGAACTCCCCGGATGTTTGCGAGAAGCTGACAGGGGTTGTGAGGGAGATTATTGAAGAGGTCATCGTCCCTGACATCGAAGAGGGTCTTCTTCCAAAGAATGCGGTGGCGTTGAATTTTGCAGACCCTGTATCGGTACTCCATCCGAGGTGCATGGCTCAGAACTCCCCGGAAGAGGATGACTTCCTGATAATCCCGGACAGTGAAGAAAAGCTTGCAGAGGATGGTAGCGAGAAGCCTGCAGAGTTTGTGGGGGAGACGGTGGACCCAAATATGCTAAAAAGACGCGGAGACACCGACATGCGATCTATTCGGAGAAGTCCTCGGCTGGAAGAGTTCCTAAAACTAATTATACCAAAATGGGAAACAAGGATGTGGGATGTGGACACAGATTAGGGGAGTTTCTTCTATACCCTATCTTCGTTTGTCCTTTAATTCGTACTATGTCTCCTATGTGCGATTTTTTTTAGGAAGCAATGATGAAAAATGGTTTTATTGATGTTTAATGTGATGCATGTGGCTTGTACATGGTTTTTTGGTATGATTAATGGTAGTTATGCATACTATGATGAAAGTAGACCTTCTGTGTACCGGTCTTTTATGCATACTGTCATGAAATTGTCCCTTGTGTGTAGTGGTTCTTTAAACAATCTGTCATGAAAGTATCCCTACTGGTCTTTTATGCATACTGTGATGAAAGTAGACCTTGTGTGTACTGGTTTTTTATGCATACTGTGATGAAAGCAGGGTGTCTGTGTATTGATTCATTATGCGTGGTATGCTATGGTGAAAGCATTAAAGCATCTCCAATGCTATAGTGTGCATGGTGCACATGTGGCATAAAAGATAACCACATAGATATTAGCAAATACATTATCTCTCTCCTTATTTGAATGATTTTATACAATTTTGGTGAGTTTTTCCCTACAATGTCAACTGCAATGTCTATATCTAGACGGTATCCTTGACGCTGTGGAGAAAAACTTACCAAAACTGCATAAAAGCATTCAAATAAGGAGATAAAAAATTTATTTACTAATATTTATGTGGCTATCTCTCATGCCCCATGTGCACCGTGTACATTGTAGCATTGGAGATGCTCTTAGGCATGTGATATGGTAGTCTATGCATGCTATGATGATCATATGAAAGTATTTTGGTAGTTTATGTGTACTGTGATGACCATGATTGATGTATCAGTCGAAACAACTTCAACTTCAGGAGGTGCTTCAGTGCTTCGTTGGTTCGTCCAGGTAACTATCCCATTTCTAACTACAACCATGCTTGATGTACACACTTTTATACACACTTTTGTACACACCTATGTCTGTGAAAGCTTTTTTTTTGTCTGTGAATCCGGTTCACAGAGACAATATTTTGTTTGTGCAAAACATTGTCTATGAATCGATGGTCACAGAGAAAAAAAAGCTTTCACAGACATAGGTGTGTACAAAAGTGTGTATAAGAGTGTGTACAAACATCATTTTTGTTCTAATTATATTTATTGTTTCCCACTGCTTGTAACTTTTTAGTTATTTGAAGTTTTTTCCTCCAGCTGTCTAGCCTTTCGTATTAAATTTCCTCCAGCCGTCCAACCATTTTTTTATATCTTTGTCAGTTTTGTCATTTAACTTTATTAATGTATTTATGATTATCAAGCCTACCTTTTAAAGTTTAAAGTTGTCATACGAAACTCCTACAAATCATTTAGCTTAGAAATTTAATTGTTTAATAGTACGTAATTTACTTTGTCAAAATATAGATAACTTGATATTTTATTTCCTTGGCAATTCAATATAATTAATATAATTGTTTACACTTAACTTGCTCCCTGGTTCATTCAATTCTTTATGACTTTATGTGTGTAGGGGTGGACCTTACTGAGGACATTACTGTTGGAAGTGAAGAAGATGATGTGGCTTGTGAAACGACAATGAGAATGACATTGGATACTGATGAAATGGATGATAGGCTTAGTTTTGAAAATTAGTAGTTGTCATTGGTCAATTTGCAAACTTAAGGGGGTGTTTCGAACTGGTTCTGATTCTGCTTCTTTTTTAAAGCAGAAGCAGAATCAGTTTTCAGAAGCTGGTCACCCCTAGCTTCTAAAAAAACTGATTCTAGAAGTAAATTAGAGCACCAGTATCACTTCTGCACTTTTACCCAAACACTCCAATTTCTGCTTCCTGAAAGAGCAGAAGCAGTTTTAAGAATCAAATCCAAACACCCCATAAATCCCTAAGCTTTTCGAGTCTTACGCCTCGAGTGGCTATCACTGAATGCCTCGAGGCCCGTTTTCACCTTTCAAAACTTTGATGTAGTAATTTGTGCATACTGTGCTGACCATGACCCTGTGTTATGGTACTTTACTCATATTGTACCAATATGCTTGTGATCTGGTACTTTGGTCAATCTGGATGACCATAAAGAATGTCTTCCATTTTTTGTGTGTGGAGTGTATGCTGTAATATTAGTTGTACCCTAATGCTGTAATATTAGTATGATGTTATTGTACCCTAATGATGAAATAATTATGATCATTGATAGTTCACTATGTTTCTACTATTACAAAATGTTTAAGTATGCTTGCACTTGTACAAAAGGTGTGAGCATGTTTGTACTACTTTTTAAATGTTTGACTGTCCTTGAAGTAGTACAAGAGGGTTGCCTATTCTTCTATCCTTAACGATTAAGGCCTGTACAAAAAACAAAAAATTAAGGCCTACACTATTAAATCCAATATCACAAAACATGGCAATACATGTACTTCATCACTCAAGAATGAAGATGATGGTCATCATCATCTTCCTTCAATTATGAAGTTTCCCTGACTTTCAGTTTCCCCTATTTCTGTTTTGTTACTTCCAAAAGTTCAACATCTACCTCGATTGTAATTGGAAGTCTCCCTTCTGAGTGCATTGTGTGGAAGTCATCCTATCCTTTGCATTGTGGTACTGTGGTAGCTTTAGTTGTTCTCTGCCTGCACTTTCATTAATTCAATCATAACATACTCATAGCTTAACCATATTTTGTTGAGAGTCAGAGGTGATAGTTGTTTGAATGCATCATCAACTGCCTATAGCAGATCATCAACTGTCTTAGGTGCATTATGCCATTATGGTCTTTTCAAAGATTGTATTGCCCTAAAAACCCTAGGTTTAGGATATTAAGGTCTCGAGAATTGGTTGGTTGGTTAATAAGGATATTTTTACTTGGACTATAATTCCTCCTAGATCAGACCAGATCAAATCAAACTTGGATATTTATAAAAATACAAAGAAACCAGATCAGTTCAGATCAGACCACATCAAATCAGCAAATTACAGTCCAAGTAAAAACATCCTAAGGGTGATACTAAACCCATCAACCATGGGAGCAGTCATATACTCTATTACTCTGCATCAGTATGTAAAATGTGTGGCTTTGCATTGTCTTGTTGTATTATGATTTCTTTGCTTAACTGTGGAGGTCATTTTTCCTTGATTAATGGGAGGACTCAGGACTGTGTTGATTAACATGCCCTTAAACACTTTCTTTATTATGCTAAGGATAGGCTTGGTTTTCATAACACCTGCATCTCTGCTTTTGCTTCTTCTTTTTGCTGCAACATGTTCAACAAATGGAAACATGCCTATTTTTCCATCCCAAACGACCTCACCACTTTCTGAAAATAGGGGTCTACCCACTGCACCTAGGGACATTACCTTAGTTATGAACCTCTTAGATTTGCATGTATAATCTTTGAGAAGTTTTTGTCATGAAAAACCATTTTTCATCAATGTGAATCACATTCTGAAATGTTTGAAAAGTAGGCTTCTGTGGCACTGACTTCTTTGCCTGCCTAAGACAAAACTTCAGTCTTTGCAATTTATTTGCATTACTTAGAAATGGCTTCATGGCATTTGTATGCCTTTTGAGCTTACCTCTGTGAACCAGTCTGTGGACACTAGAGTTTAATATTGAGGTGACAGCTCCTAATAACCTTATGTTAGTCCTTTTATCCAATGGGATCTGTGCTACGTGAGATAGATCAAATTCTATCCTTTTTCTGCCAGATTTACCAGCCCACTTCCTACGCACATCTACAATATCACCTTTTACAACTTGCTTTTTAACTGTCTTCCAAATGCCAGAAATAGTTCTTCTGGACACTTCAAACTGTTCAACAAGTATAACGAAATTACCTTTCTGAGCGTTCAAGTCCCCCCAAAATCCCTCCAACTGGACATAAGGATAGACTCGGGTCGAGTCAACCGACCCGTAATCGGCCCGGCCCGGTACTGTTTCGGCCCGGCCCGGTCCTCGGGTCAGTGCCCGGTTTGGGCCACCCGGTCCGGTACTGTTTCGGGGCGGGCTCTGGGTCTCAAAAAAATGAACTGACCGGGCCGGTTCTCGGGCTAATTTTTTTTGTTTTTGTTTGTCAAATTCTTTGGGAGGTAAATGGGTTGGGCTTGGTATTTTGGAGGGGTTTGGGGTGTGAGAGGGGGTGGGGGGTAGGAAGTAATTAGAAAATTAAAAAACTCCCTCCTTTTTTTGGCCTTGCCGCCTAAGTTATGCACAATTTGTTCTCCTATTCACATGTCAATCAATTCTACTTTTAATCATTTCTATCCTATTTAAAAATGATATGTAGTTTTAATTATTCACACGCAGAGACTCTTTTTATACTTTTTTTACAGAAACTTTCTTTTTTTATTCTTTTTTTAATACAGAGACTCTTATGGTATGTACTTTCATTTATTATCTTTCACTACGCATGAATTTCTTTTACCATTGGTATTTAATTTTTTTTAAAGAAAATAACTCACGACTTACAAATCATTAAGCTTCAAAGTAGCAAAACCAAGATGGAAGAGTTTAGCTCCTCATTTGGAGACTAAACATGAAGAAAATATAAAGAAATAACTATTCTAGACTCAGCTTGGAGGTATAAAGGAATTGGATATCTCATTGTGAAGGAAAGGGGGTGTATTTATAGGTTCTTGGGATGCAGCTCGGGTACCCGATCGGGTATATACAAGGTACCTGATCGGGTATGTGTAATACCTCAAATTCGAGGTATACTCGATCGATCAAAGGGAAAATTTCATAAGCATACCCGATCGAGTATACCTTTGTACCCGGTCGAGTATGCTTATAACTTCAGATCCGGGGCATACTCGACCGAATTCAGGTTTGTGTTTGAAGAGATACCCGATCGGGTGTGTCGTTGTACCCGATCGGGTATGGACACTCGATCGTAGTCCGAATCTTCTCTGCATGATCTTTTGTCTTCGGATCCGATCCGATTTGAAGTTTCAACAAGATACCCGATCGGGTATAGGTGATACTCGACCGGGTATAGACCAAAATTTCAGGATCCTTCTTTTGTCTTCAAATTATGCACCTTCCTTCCACTTTTGGGGTTCACCAACTGTCCTTTGAGTTGATAAGACCTGTTTGAGCTCAGAATAAACCTAATCTAAACAATTTACAAGAAATTAACAAACTAAACTATTACACCAAAAGTGTGTAATTTCCAAAGTAAAACTCAATCAAAACTAATTAAAAATATAAACATACATATGGAAATTACACCTATACCCGATAACGTACCTTCAAAGTCTTGTCCTCCCCTTCCCTCCGAACTCCCAAACATACCTCTTGATTGGGACTAAGGTCCTGACGTTGATGTTGTATATGAGAGAAAGGGGGAGGAAGCAGATTGACATATTGCATTTCATATATGCAGTAATGCAGGTGAGAGCTATAATCGTGGAGAAACAGAAGACGCGTCTAAGTTCGCAGAAGATCCTGCTTTGCCACCGCCAACAACACAGAAGCCCTCCTCAGGCATTGATGATGAACATTCGACCTTGAGCATGAAAAAATCCATTCCTACTCAAGCGTACCGCTGCAAGAAATGTCGGAGGGTGGTTGCGCTGCAAAACAATGTTGTCGATCATGTTCCTGGTGAGGGTGAATCCGCCTATATGTGGTATAATAGAAGGAAAAGTGGCTTTCTGTTTGACAAAGAGGATGAACATGAGTGTTCTTCCCTCTTTATTGAGCCTCTTCAGTGGATGACAAAAGGTATTGCCGCCTATTTCTTCACTCTTTATCTCTGTAGTCCAGGTCCGGTGTACGATGAAGAAGACGGGGCGCCCTTTTGGTACCTATTTTTTTTTTACTTATCACCCCCATTTTTAACTAAAGAAAAAAACTGCATTTTCTGAATCAGTTAGTTGTACAAACTTCCCCAAGGTTTAGTCAAATCACCAAATGAGACTTGTCACTTGAGGTTCACCAAATGCTAAAGATGATACGATACAATGATATTAGCAGGAGCTGCTTTCCCAGACTATGTTGCCTTCAATATTTGTTCTAATTTTTTTTAAAGAAAGCTTTTGATATTTTAATCTAATAAATGCACTAGCTCCGTTCCTTCATAAACCCCCGGTTTGACCTGTAGTTTTAAGTTTGCTTGAAATACGGAGTATATGTTTGGAATCATATGAATGAATTTAACAAGGGTATAAATATGTAAATAATGGTAGCAGTCTAGCAGATCTGGATCCCTTCATTATTCAAGTCCATCCCTAGCCATTATAGTCTTCTTCATCTTCCAAAAGTAGCCTAATAATTTTGAAATTCTATCTTTTCTGACCTGTTCTTACTTTTCATCTCCTCTATAATATCTGAAAACCAGTTGGAGAGGGTGCCCTGGAAGAAAAGCTCTCGTGTCCATTGTGAAGCTCAACTTGGTTACTTCAATTGGTCAGGCATCGGACTCACGGTATAATGATGGTATGCAATGCTACACCTCAAAAGTATTCATTAGCATAGATGGTATTACAATTACTCTCAGAAATTTTTAGTGCTTCAGGTTATGCGTGGACTCCGGCCGGGTCGGGCCCGGGCCGGGCCTAGGCCCGGTCGGGCCGCCGGTTTGTATGACATGGGCCCGGGACCGGCCCGAGGGTTGGACGGGTCCGGTCCGGGCCACCCGCCCGGGTCACAGGTCGGGTCCGGTTCGGGCCGGTTAAAGTTTTTTTGTTTTATAATTTATATTTTATAGTTTATAGTTTTATACAAGTATTAAAAACAAACTTCAAGTGCATTTATTTGAAATGAAATAGGAACTACATTTGAAAATTAAAACAAACTTTAAGAGAAACATTTTGAAAATTGTAATCAATCGGAACTTCCCGCACGTCTCGATCCTTTGGCTTTGTCACATGACTTCATATGCTTCATTGTCATCCCGTATCCGCCTGAAACCCCCATGCTACACTTTTTCCCGCACCATTTGCAAGTTGCGTACTACATCCCGGTCTTCGGGTCCTTCTGCTTATCAAAATTATACCGTATAATGGCATCTTGATTTTCCTTCTTAACTTCTTAAGTATAAACTATAAAGTAGATATATAAATAATAAATATAATATATTGGAGAATAAGAGAATTAGAGAGTAGAGAGTTAAGAATAGGATTTAGGAAGAATTGGAGAAGACATATGAAAAAATGTTTAAGATTAGGAGTGTTTATAGGTTTTTTTACCCCCAACCCCCCCTCCCCAACCCCCCTACACCCCACCCAACGGCTATATAGCCGTTTGGGTTGTCCCCAGCCCACCCCCCAAGGCCATAACAGCTAGTTTGGGGCCCAACAATTTTTTTTTTATAAAAAATTGGACCGTTGGACCCGGACCCGGGCCCGACCCGGCCGGGCCGGGTCAACTTTTTCAGGAACCGTACCCGCTCCGCCCCTCCCCGCCAGTTCGGGTCTACACCCGGTCCCGGACCGCCCGACCGGGCCGGTCCCGGGCCCGCACAGTAGCGGGCCGGGCCGGGTCACGGGCCGGGTGACCCGAACCGAATCCAACACTACTTCAGGTCAGGTGTTCGAAATCTTCAGGTGCATGCACTGTTACGGATCCAACTTGGAAGCCCAAATTACAAATAGGTATATATCCATTACAAATAGGTATATATACAAATATGTACTTCCCACAAATGGTGTGCATAAAAGCCAACGTCTATAATTAACTTAGCTCTTTGCGAAATACGTAGATCAAGTGTAAACTCTTTTCTGTATCAAGCATTACTGATCATAAAATACCCTGATCAATAAGACTTTTTTTTCTGCAAAAGGATCCATAAGACTTAAAAAGTGTGATATCGTTGAACTATTTAGAAGTATTAAATCAATTGAAAGAACAAATTAAATTATAATGACTGCAAATACTCAATTTTGATCGATTCTAGTTTAGTTACAACAATTTAAATCTCACATTTAGCAAAACACAACTTTTCCATTCAAAAAAAAGCAAAACACAACTTTGAACATTAATATATTTTAAGTTTAAATGAAATGTGATACATTTTTATTTTAGATTTCTATAAATACTTTTAGATCCCTACAAAATATCTTTTGCTTTTCATCCTTGTAATATGTATTTTTATTTTTAGCCCATCTTTAATTTCGAGACCACTTCATTTAGAAAATAAATTAAAGTCGCTTGCCTAAATCTATTGAAAACTTTTGAACGCATCAACCACACATAAAAAATAGAAAAAATGGGTTTAACAACCTCAAAAATAAAACTACGTAATTCTTGAAAGATATGACAAAGAAAAGAAATGTAAATTACAGGAATGAAAAACAAAAAAAAAATCCAAAGATGTAAAACAAAATATACTATATTTGCAAGGATTAAAAACATATTTAAGCATAGGTTTAATAAAAATCTAATGGATATGAGAATTTTATAATACGTAGTATTTATATGAAATGATAGAGAAAAGCATAGATAATGTATGTGAAAAATTCAAAAATTGAAGTGTTATAACTAATAAAGAACAATTAAATTATATTTATTAATTTAATGAAGAGAAAAACAGGTACACATAAAAAAATCACCATCTTTACGTCTTTAGCAATCTCAGTAAAAATCTTGCAAAATTGCTTAAATGATTAATAAACGGAAAATAAACGACCTATTAACATTTGTTTGGTGTGAACTCTCATTTCGCTAAAGAAATAGAGAGAAAACATGACAATAACAAACATCAACATTCTCATTTCTCGTACAGTTTTCAATAGCCCCCTCTCCCGCCGAGAACTCCATCGTACGGGCAGGATAGGTAATGTCATCACAACATTATAATAACGAGTTGACCCACACGCAGATGGGCAAAGCTAATTTCTTAGAGTCCTAATCCAACCGTACGACCATCTTTTCTACGAAGCCCAGCGGTGTACTGCTTCTCCAATTCCATCTGAAGTTCCCTTTGCTTTTCCATGTCAAGGACATCGGGTTTATGCCGCTCAGCCTTTATGTCACCCTTCACACCCTACAATGGGCCATATGTACCAAGGCAGCCTCAGACTCTAAAAGAGTGTTAGTATGAAAATATTGGCATGTACATAACATATATTCAACTACGTTTTAGAATTTAGTTTGGTAAGACGTAATTAAAAGTAACGTAATCAAATGCATTTGTAATGTAAACCTGCATTAAAAACATACTAATTTGATTACATTACATTAAATGTACTCCATATTATGGTACACACCAATTTACACCTTGGCGTGATTACGATACCATACAAATATACAATTAGGTTAAAGTGAAATCAGGGTTAGGTAACTGAGATAGTTGAAATTGTGGATTCAGATATTTTGTGGAATGAATTAACGAAACCTTTACAGAGCATCTAGCTCAATGTATGTGTGCAATTTACATCTGTTTCCATCAAAAAAGTTTGCACATTTTCTCTATTATGCAACTAAGCGAACACTATTACACTTCCTTTCAATAAAAAATGAAGCCCATGCGTAGAAAAATCAAGCTATCAAACAGGAACTACATAGTATTCATTATGACTTGCCTAACTACATCTATGTTGAAAATGTAGTACAAGCTCAAAGGAAATTACCATGAGTTTGTTAAACTTTTCCTGACGTTCACGATCACCAATCATGGACGTATCCCAGCGGTGAGCAGACTATTCAAAAACAAAAACATACATACAGAAGAAATTAACATGGTGAATCAGATAAAAGCTAAAGTGTGTGCTATGGGCAGGGGAACAGTTTATTTATAATAGATAGTAAAGCTAAAGTTTGTGCTCGACTGTTCATTTAGATCTTTGGGCTGAAGATGCCACGATTCATCTCGGTATACTTCGTATGTGGTTTTGGAGAAGAAAAAACAGTGTTTAAACTTGAACACTTGCCAAAATAGAAGATACTTCCTCCATTCCCTTTTAATTGCAACAGTCAACATTTCACGTTTGCCAACGCACAAGTTTGACCATTAATATCTTTCATTCTTTATTAGTAAAAAATTTCAAAAATTCATATTTTGAATATTTAGAATGAGAAGAATTTAACAATATTTTTTAAAAATTTAATTTATAATACATGAATTAATAAAATATAATTAAAGTAGAATATGTGAATAGTGCAAAAGGTCCAATGTTGCAATTAAAAGAGAGCAGAGGACCAGAGGTAGTATACATTAATCATACAACAACAACATCCGAGCCTTAATCCCAAAAGATTTGGGGTCAGCTAACATAAATCAATCCATGATATCAAAACCAAAAGAGAACAAAGAAGAATAGAAAATAAAGTAAGACAAATCGGATAAGATAAATATAAAAATAAAAAACAATAACATAAGAACCTAAGAAAGGTATAAGATAAAAGGATAAAAGAACATAAGAACGATAGAAGATAAAAATAACATAAGAATATAGAAAGATAAACGATAAAAGAAAATGGAGAGAGAGAAAAGATAGAAAAGAGATCAATCGTCCACATTAATATAAACTAATCATAAATTACTATAAAAGTATAGAACCAATGTCCTAGTCATTTATTCATTTATATCCTCCCAAACATAACATTGACGAAACTTATAAAGCTGTTAATGTGTCGGGGCGTAGCTCAACTGGTGGGAAAAGGGTGTCACAAAGGAGAGGTCCTGGTGGGAAGAAGGTGTCACAAGGGACAGGCTCTGGGTTCAATCTAGGCAAAAACCTTAGCTGGAACTCCACTCTCTTTCTACTAGAATGTGAACAAAGCTCAATTTATATTCATGTCTGATAACTGTCCGGCCAGTATTGGGGGTCCTCAAAGATGAGGTGTCATCCTTTTTTAATAAAGCTGTTAATGCATGTCATAAGCACACTGTCCCATCTAATATGAATTTACTGGTTTTTGTAAGAAAGAACGGAGGAAGATGGAAATCCAATTACCTCTTCAATAACATTTGTGCTCTTTTTACTTCCCCATAACAGCTTCTTCTTCTGATCAGCAGTCATGTAACCAGTTCCAACTAGATTCTTATTGACTGTTATTAATTTAACCTCAACCATTAAAACGAGAAACAAAAGCAAGTTTATGATAGAAGGGTTGGTATAATTGCATCAAGAACCGAAAGTGAAACACATGAGAATAACTAGAGACATAGATAAGTGAATAACTATATCAGTGATAGAAGTTTGAGAATAAAGATGAACAATGGTTACTGGGGATCAACAAGTTGCTCTAGCTAATACTTTTAGACGTATTTTTTTAGAAAAATTACATTAACTATAATATAAACAGCTTCTTTTGTTCAAATATAACTCTTCTTTTACAACAAAAACACAATTTAAAGAGGACTTGTTTTTTAGAAAGATTGAGTACTTACCTAATTCAGCAGCCCTCATAGCAGCAACTTTTGCAGCATCTATATCAGACTCCTTCACACCTTGTTCCGAAGTGGCTTCACTACTAGGCGACTTCCCTTGCTTATAACTTGAAGATTGCTTTTCATTTACCATTACTAATTCATAAACAATACACATTTAGGAATAAAAAAGAAAAATCAACATGTCAGTATGAAAAAATTATTATTTGTTATAATACCATCTTTTCCACGACCCGTACTGGCACCATCAATGTCATCAAATTTGGCCCTTTTTGCAGAAAACTTTGTGTCCTCGTATTTATTTTTTTCTTGAATGTGCCTCTCCTTGAGCCTGTCCGTGTTATCATATTTATTTTTATCATCTTTGGAGTACTTTTGACTGTCCAACTCCAGATTTCTCTTTCTGTCCTTCTCATCATGGCAATATCTATATTCCTTATGCACATCCCTATCTGTAGATCTACCATCTTCAATGCCAGAGTTAGTAGTATACCTCCTACCAGATTTACCTCTATCAGAATAGTCTCTTGACTCTCTTCCCCTTGACTCCCGATGATGAGAATACGATTTTGAATAATGATTTCTTTCATCATCATCTCCATTGCAATGTCTTGTATGACCATCATGCTTGCGGTGAGAAAGAGTACTCCTAGAGGAGTGTCGGTCAGAAGGTCTGTGTGGCTCACCATTCCTTCCATTGTCTCTTTCCTTTTCATCATCTTTTCTTTGTCTAGAACTACCATTTTTTTCACGATCTTTCCTTTGTGAAGGTGGACTCAAGCTCCTGTTACAGGCGGGACTACCTGCACCAACAAAAACATGCATAAACTAAAAACTGCCTCCTGCATGAGAACCTTGCTAGGAAATTAGCCATGAATGATATATATATATATATATGATGAAATGACTCTTCACCGTAGAAATGACTGATGCACCATATTCTGTCAAAGCAGTGGCAATTCCAGATAATTACAGTAGTTAAAACCATATTTCTTCATCAATATCTTAACACCATGAAGTTATATATGAAGTTGGAAGTGAAGTACTTCCTCCGGTTCACAATAAATTTCATTCTGGAGAAAATCAAGCAGTTTGAGTTATTAAATGGAGACACTTTTTACAATGTCACCGTTACTAACATTTATTTATCACTGAAGATCATTTTTCGCTTGTAGACTTAGAAGGGAAAGAAGGGAAAAAATGGAATTAGATATTGTCTTGGACTCTTGGTTTTATAAAATAGAACAAATTGTGTGCCAAACATTTTCCTCCAAAATTACATGTATAGTGAGATGGAGGGAGTGCCTTACAGGAAACAGCTTAAAATACAAGCTGACACCTTATATAACAAAAAAACAAAACTTAAAGCATTTCATACATAGACAATCCATATTACTGCAGAACAAACTTGTAATCAAATTTCTGGTCACAAAAATTGAGTACCTAACTCTGCGGCAAGCCTTTACAAAGTTCTGATCCAAATAATAGTGTATGGTTTTAAAAATATGAAAATCCCAATACGTAATCTCCTATGCAACACAGAAACTCTCGAGACTGCACGTTTCCGTTTCGGAAACTCTATAGAAACTCTTTGGAAACTCTCCAAACAAGCCCTTTTTGAGTAAAAATTGATGTTTTCCGTTTCCCATTTCCTCAAGATGTTCGCGTTTCCGTGCAACATAGGTAATCTCTTTGGGAATTAGGACTTGAACGAGCCAGGAAAGAGAAGTCCCGAAATGGGATAAAAGAGAATACAGTTGTAAAAATAGCTCCAGTAATCAGAAAAAAGAGCAAAATCAACCCATGAGTTAAGGCAGAAGGCATCCCCCAAAACAATCAGAGATCCTTTCCCTATTATCTACAAAAGGGGTTGACCCCCTCCCCCCCCCCCCCCCCCAAAGCTCCCTCCAACCAATATCTATCAGTGGCCACACTTACTATGCTCACTTCAAATCCATTTACTAATAGTTAGTCTCCTTATCATAGGAGTGAACTCAAACCTGTCAACGTCCCAGGTAAGCACACTGCAGACTTCCAGAGTCAATTGGGAGATCACCAAAGAACTATCAATTGACAGATCAAAATCAAGTACAACTAATATAGACAGCAACCCTTAGAAGCACAGCTTGCGCATTAATCAAATTTGAGGAATAAAACGTTACCCTTGAAACTATATTCATTCACTCACCGTCGGAGGATGATCCGCCCAATGGAGACCGACGCCGGTATTTCCTATTAGCAGCATCACTGGAAGGCTTTCGAAAAGCTCCGATGGGACCGACGTTCTCCCGGTCTGACATTTGCTCATCGGAGTCCATAGTCACACGGTCACACCTAAACCCTTAATCGATGAATATATATCCCTATAAAACTAAAAAACTACACGCCGCAAGGTTAGAAATCTTGTTGCAGAATATGTTCCCAAAACACAACCAGAACTCTTTTTTTGTTTAGGGTCGGAGGCTTAAAAAAGAAACGAAGGTTCAAAAGAAGAAACCTTTGAAGTTAGAACGAGGAAGCTGAAAACATGAATCCGTCCAAAGAAGTTTTTTTTTGGATATGGACGACAGGACGAGGGCGTCATGGACTTACGGTGGTTGATGAGGTGCCTGGGCAGGTAGGATATGGGTACGGGTATAGGGCAAAACAAAAAAAGTAGGATACGCATACGGGACCATATTTATAAATATTAAAAGTTATGAGGGTGTATTTACAAATATTAAAAATTACAGGGGTGTATTTATAAATATTCAAAATAGTTTTGTTTTTGAAATATATACATATAATATCCTATGAAATATACAAAAAAATAATTTTTTGGATATATATATATATATATCCTATATATACCCATTCATTACATATACATCATAATATTTCTCATATACACTAGTGCATCTCGAAATATAAATGTAGACATGTAGTCGATAAATCATTAATTTAAAATGAGAAATAAGTCAAACAACTACAATTTTAAAATTAAAAGTGCAAGTATCAAAGTTCTAGAATAATTAAGATAGAAAACAATATTTTAAAAACATATACTCCTTAGAAGCTCGTGATAAAAGACGAAGATTGTTATGAACAAATACCAAATCCTCCGCTCGCTTTGGAAGCAGTTTGTTTCTTCTAAATGAATTAATAAAAGAATAAGAACTCCAATTCCTTTCTCAGCATGATGATGAAGTAGGTTGTCCTACTATTTTGAAAGCTAATTTTTGAAGAAAAGGTGCATTCGAACCAAAGCATGCCCACCACTTCTTATGTTCCATGTAATATCTGCTTGCAATAGATTCAGGATCCTCAAATTTTGGGTTTTTTTTATACAAAAAAGTTGATACGGGTATCCGTCAGGATACGAGTATCGGAAACTTTCAAAAAATTACAAAAAAATAGAAACTTTCAAAAAATTACAAAAAAATGGAAACTTTTAAAAATTACATATACGAACCGGGAACATACGGTACGGGTATCCTAGAGTATCGGATACGGGAACGTATCCGATACGCCGATACGCTACCCTAGAGAAGTATCCGTGCTTCATAGGTGCCTGGCATATCAAAGTAATTTGACAGTACATCCCATTTTTTAGTGATATTCCGCTTTCCACTTTATTTTAAAATCATTAATATATGTATTTTAATCAACTATAAAATTATTTGACTTTGCATCAGATTACAACAACAATAACATTCAAGTCTTAATCTCAAAAGAATTAGGGATCGTCTAACATGAATCGATCTATGATATCGATACTAAACAGAGAAGATGGACAAGACGGAAAAACAATTAAGATAAAACTGATAAAATAAAGATAAATAAATACGGAGTATAAGATAAAAATAACATAAGAATATAAAAAAGATAAAAGATAGAAAGATAAAAGATCATAAAAAGCTAGAAGATAAAAATAACATTATAATATAAAAAGATAAATAAGAAACGATAAAAGAGAAGAAAGAGAAAAGGTAGAAAAGACATCAATCGTCGACACAGATATATGCACACTTCACTTTGCTCTCTCCAAAGCTATACTCTCATCCAACCCAAGAAGGCGCATATCAATTATAATTCCTCTAATCCAAGTCTGTTAGGTCTTTCCCTCCCCTCCTACCCGCTTGTTCTCTCCAGCTCTCAACTCGTTTAACAAATGCATCATTCGATCTTCTATGCACATGATCAAATCATCGCAATTGAGACTCCTGCATCTTATCTTCTATAGGTGTTAAATCCACCTCTTGTCTGATTATCTCATTCCTCAAACGGTTCTTTCTGGTATATCCACACATCCAACGCAACATACACATCTCTGTCACACTCATCTTTTGAATGTGGCATTGATTCACCGCCCAACACTCTACGCCATACATTAATGCAGGCCTAATGTTTGTTCGATAAAATTTATCTTTCAATCTAGTCGGCATACTTCGATCGCATAAAAATCTTGATACACTCTTCCATTTCATTTACCCAGCTTTGATTCTATGGAAAAATCCACCTAGCTTTGACTTTGCACCACATTCATTCATAATTTTTTGAATGATGTGATGCATTAATGATTAATGATTTTAAAAATAGGATGCAAAATCCAATATTACAAAAAATATGTAGTGCAAAGTCAAATAGGAAGAATTATTTCCTTTTTGTTCAAAAAACTTAAAAAATAACATTTTAAAACGTGTTCTATTTGAATTAATCATTTTAAATTACTATTCACTTTTTCTATTACACAGAAGTTTTTTTTTGTTGTTGTTCAACTGTTTTTAATTAAGTATTTTTCTTTTCAAACAATGTTAACATTTACTATTAAATATTCAGAAAATTACCAAATAAATCTTCGTACTATCTCGAAAACTCAATTAGATCGCCATACTTTATATTTATAATCAACAAATTGAATTCCTAAACTATTAAAAAGTCAATTACTCAATTTAGTAGGTAAACATCAGTTTACATGTTACCACTTACCAGAACCTCTACCTATAAAGAATATTTTATATTATGATTAATGAGTATAACTTTTAAAAGAAATGAATATTGATATTAAATCACTGTATTTATAGTACAATTGGGTATCCACTTAATGGAGCCTATACCTATAATGAATAATTTATATTATGATTAATGAGTATAACTTTTAAAAGAAATGAATATTGATATTAAATCACTGTATTTATAGCACAATTGAGGATTAGAAACACACAATTGAGTATCATGATCTATACGTAATATATGCTACAAATCAACTTATTCATTTAATTATATTATCATTGCATAATCATCAATATTTATTTTGCTAATTTTTTTAATTTAATATCAATAGTCATTTCTTTTAAACGGTATACTTGTTTCTTTTAATATAAAATATCCGGCTGTACGTTCTTACGGTATAATTTGCCTACGTACCATTACTCTTCCACAAGCCAAAAGCACAATGTGTTTGGCTTCCTTTCGTATACTCCATATAGTGTCAAGACTTCCCCTGCTTGGGTATCAAATTCAAGATACCTTAGATGAAACTGAAGCTGAAAAGGCTACGATTGAAGTGGAAACTAAATCAGAAGATGTATATATACAGCCATGTACCACTATTCTAAAAATCGCTCTAGGCATCCGACTAGTCCCACCTATGCGTTAGGCGGTGGCCGGGCACCTCGATTTTAGTCTAGACGCTCCGACTAATTGATTTGACGCATAGGTGAATTAGTTGACCGCCTAAGGCGCTTAGTTGCCTGCCCAGAGCGCTTAGTCGGCCGCCTAGGCGTCTAGATTCGTCGAACATTTTATTTTGCCTTTTATTTTAGTATTCTTAAAAAAATACATACCCTTAACTTTAATAACGCATATGAAGAAAGCTATTAGTTGTAGATTACGATTAGGGATGGACCGGTTCCGGTTCGGGCCTGGGCCCAGTCGGGCCTCGGTTCATGAAAGGGGAGGCCCGGAACCGGCCCGGATAACCCCAGGTCCAGTCCGGACCGGGCCGGGCCGAGCCTCGATTCATTTTTTTTGGCTTTTCCTAATTAACCCCCAACCCTCCCTCCTCACCCCCAAACCACCCCAAACCACCTCAAATGGCCCATCATACCCAGCCTAACCCAAAAACTTAAAAAAAAATCAAAAAAAAATGGCCCGAACCGGCCGGGTCGGTTCACTATTTAGCCGGCCCGGGCCCGAACCGCCTTCCTCACCGGGCCGGGTGCCCCGAACCGGGCACCAATTTTTAATAAAGTTGAGTATTATTATTTAATACTACATCCGTCCCATTTTATGTGTCTCATTTGGTTTTGGCACAATTTTTAATAAAGTGGTTGAAAAGGTAAAAATTGTAGAGATTTGAGTATAGTAATGTGAAATGTTGTGAACCACATATTTCTTTCCAAAAAGGAAAATGTGACACTTACGTAGTATTTTGGAACAACCGAAAAGGAAAGTAAGACATGTAAAATGGGACAAGGGGAGTAATATTTACTACATAATGAAGTTAAGTGAGTAAGATTAATACGATAGTATATTTTTAAATGTGACAACTCTATCATTCATGCATGTTAATGTGTATACATATTTTTATACACACCAAAACACAACATTACTAATCATATTTATGCAAAATATTGATAAAGTTATAATTTCTATGTTTCCGACTAGTCCACGCCTAAACGCCCGCCTAGCCGCCTAGGCGTTGGGTTGGCGTCCGACTAACGCCTAGTGTCTTTTAGAACATTGCTATGTACATATATATAAGGAATCAAATACAAACACCTTAATCTACATACAACAAAGTGGCAAACTCATCTTAGCCAATTGATGAGTTGATCTAAAAGTTATAAAAGCACAATGACATTTTAGTAGACTTGGACTCGGGCCGTGTCGGGCCCGGGCCGGCGGTTCTGAATAGCTGGACCCGGAATCGGCCCGGGTAGCCACCGGGTCCGTGCCGAGCCGGACCTCGGGTTTGGTTATTTTTTTTTTTTGCTTACCTACCCATCCCTGACCCCCCTCACCCCCCACCCACCCACCCCTCACCCCCCAAACCCCCCAAACCCCTCCTAAACGTCAAGCCCAACCCGGGTGGAACCCAAACAAATGAAAAAAATCAAAAAAAAAATGGCCCGAACCAAGCCCAGGCCCGACCGACCCGGGCCTTGTTTTGGGTGACCCGAGTCCGGACCGGAAACACATCGGGTCGAGCCTACCCGGACCGGTCACTAACCGGGCCACCGGTTCAGGCCGGGCCGGAACAGTATCGGTCCCGGGCCGGTTCCGGTTCGGGCCACCCAGCCCGAGTCCAAGTCTACACTTTAGTAATAAAATCAAACTTTTTTGGATTGCAACTTTTCTGGGATGCAACTCTTTGAACTATTATTTCATGACAAAAAATTATGCAACACTTTGAATTTAATATGCAATACAAAGAGTTTAAAAGATGCATCGTACAAACAATTACACAATAAATACAATGTGTACGGTGTACCTAATCCGCCCTTTATATATATACTATTATTATACTACCTCCGTCCCACTAAGATTGAGACAAGAAAAGGTGGCACGATTTTTAAGAAAAGTGAGTTTGTGTGGTTGATATTAAATTGATAAAGTGAAATTGATTAAGAACCAAAGAACTTTACCAAATTTGGTATGAAAAAATCTTAGTAGGATTTCCCAAAATGGTAAAATGAGACAATCTTAGCGGGACGGAAGAAGTATAAGACAACGATCATAATTCATATGTAAGGTAGAAGCTTTTCGAGAGAGTAGAACACAATACCAAATGTTTCAACACTGAGAATTGAAAGTAGATAACCTGTAAGCAAATGAAATTATTTTAAATATGCGTCTAATTAAATATCTTGAATTAGATTTTGAATTGTTACAATGCAAAACAAAAATAATGCCCCGTAACCAATAGAACTAAGTCTAAAAAATGCACTTGACAATGGAAGTAGACCTCTGGTGCTTATCCTAGTTTTAAGGTTTTCCAATAGTTTATATCCCAAAATTGGTACCAATTCTTACAAGAAGAATAATACTATTCTCACACACTTCAGCTGAACCACAAACAAGTTCAGAGATATTCTGATCAGGGAGGGTAGCGTTGTAAAAATGCAATGAGGGAACCCGAAAATTCCTCAAAAGCCAAGACAGTGCCGCATAAAACGTACATCAAGCACCAAGAGTGTTTTATCGTGTCTTCCGGAATGTTTGGTGTGTTTCTGCAGGTTTCTATTAAATAAATCTAAATGTCAAGCTGGTCAAAGTTGATCTTGCTTGCAGAATTCTGTATTAGCTCCTTCCTAAAATCCACCTGTTTCACCACAAAAGGGAGATAATGTGTCAATGTGTTAGGTTCACTGAATGAACAAAGCAAAAGATGTGTTACAAGCTCTGGCTTATTCTATATTTATAATTATAACATGCTCTATCTATCTCAAAGACAAGTTTCCGGTTTGTTATGCATACATATTTATGTAAAATCTTTCTTTGTTTTGACTTTCCAAGTACACCCTTACTTTGTACTATAACTTTACTAAATTTTGCAAAAAAGATTCATCCAAAATACATAACAATCATGGTGAGATGCGATGGTCCAGCCCATCAGTTATAGCTTGAATAAATGTGCCTTAGCATGGCAGAAAAATCTATCTTGAACATGATTTTTTTAATCGAATAACTAAGCCAGAAATGTGGATAAGATTATACTAGTATTATATTTGGAGTGTATGTTTTTAGCGACAATGTGACATAATTCAAGGGTAATTTTTTGTCTTAACCCTATGCATATAATATTCAATAGCACATGCTTAAGAAATATTGAACCCTCATAATAGCAATGACAAACCTAATAAAACCTCAAATGCTATAACAACAAGATTCTCCATAAAGAATTCTAGATTTAATTTCTCCAACGATACTAACAACCAACAGGTAATCGACATGACATCCAAAACATAAAGAGCTCTTATTTACTTACGGACTTACCCGAGTACCCATTAACGAGGAAAAAACAACATTTGCCTCCGCGGGATCTTCAACCACTAGCTGCTTTAAAAGCCTTGTGTCTGGGTTTAAGGTTGTTTCCCACAACTGGGTAGGCATCATCTCTCCTAGTCCTGTGTTTCATTTAGATAAACGAGTTAAAATGACAAGGCAGTTTCACACTTTCTCATTGTCTCATAGTCTTAGAAGCCATATGCATACATCAGAAATTATGAAGCAAAGGATCATAGCTAACAAAAATGATAAGTCATCCAACTTATAAGTTATAACTACATAATCCTCCAAAACTTAAGCATTTAAATGCATTTTAAATATTCCCGATGTCCCACTAAAGAAAAAAGAGTCATTTTTGTCCCCTCCTCCCAAGACAAGCTTTATTTCATTAAATAAGCTATTTCTTGTACTTTTCCACAAAAGTTAGAGATGAGTTTGATATGATAACTTTAGTCAATCCCAAAATTAAGTTTTAACAGTGTAAGTATGACTTTATGACTTTTAGGAGATGTACCTAGCAAACAATTAAAAAGTGTACATCTACTAAACATGACTCTATTTAGAGGGACAGAGGGATGCGATATGGGGATGAAAAGAAGATCTATATTACTACATAATGAAGATGAAGAACTTCCCTTCCCTGAGGGAACCTTCCCTAAGGGAAGAGAAGGCAGTCCCGGACTTTGTCAAGACTCGAAGAAATAACTCCAAGATTATTGATCATATATTATTACTCCGTATTCCTTACTAAATAGAGTGTCTTTGTTTACACTTGTTCCAAGAGTCTTGGGGGACCAGAATTTTAGTAACTCTAAACCTATTACAATACTCCTATTAAGATACTAACTATAACAGACTTCCTATACTAATAGGAAACTGCAATTACTAATAATAATAGGAAACTAATACTAATACTTAAACGGAAAACTAATAACAATAATAACAACAACAATAATCATAGTCTAGACTCATGAGACACGCCAACATGTTATATAGGCCACTGGTCTAAGGCCTACTAATAAGTAATCCCATACAGCTTTGTAGTGAGTGTGAAACTAATAAAATCTCTCTATGGGTATATTTTTAGAAAACTGGGAGCAAGACCATGCATGCTTTGTGCACAAGACATGAAATCCTAATTGAATCTCACCTTTAAATCTCTGGATGTTATATGAAGCATTTGAGGGAAAGGAACTCTGGAGCTTTCTAAGATCTGCATCATCAAAGCAGTAATGCGCTTGTTTTCCCCGTTCAACCTAAAAAAAACAAGGAGAAATTACAACTTGTGAATTTCAGAACATTGAATTATATGGATTGATGAAAACAACCCCATTGAGATCAAACCTTATACAGAGGTGGAACACCCACATAAATGCACCCTTCATCAAATAAAGCCCTCTGCAACCAATAAAAAGAGTGTGAACAGAGTTAGGTTAGGCTATTTGGCTGATATGGCTTAATCTTCTTAAAAGAAGAGCACTAGGGAAAATCAGTTTCAGTCTGTTAACTAAGTCAAGACCTACTTATGATAACTATTCTGCTGATAAGCCAAACAAGCCACTTTTGGCTATACAACAGAGGCTTAGGTTTCTTTTCAGGAAAATTGCACATGTAGCCATGCAGCCAAATATGAAGGTTAATGGGGGCATTATTGGCATTCTTTATTGACGAGAGTGCCCTCATACAGCCAAATACCAAATGATTATAACGGGATGGACTAATTGCATCTCAATTACAACAGTCGAGGCCTCTAGGGATTACATTTGCAAAACAACGGACGCTAGTCAATACAATGTTTCCTATTAAAAAAGGGCAGCCTGGTGCACAATGGTGTCCCCGCAAGGCGAGGGTCCGGGGAAGGGTCTCACCACAAGGGTGTATAAGGAGCCAGTCCTCCCTTGTCATTTTGGACAAGACATGACTCCGTGACCTCTCGGTCACACAGCACCATAACCGGTGCGCCAAGGCTCCCCTTCGGTAGAATGATTTCCCATTGCTCTAATTAATTTCTTTGATGCAACAGCTTTTGATCAGTAGATGCAACGGAAGTGACCTGCCTGATATCTGAAGAAAAAAGTCAACAACAGTGTGCGAATATGGGCGCCATCCACATCAGCATCAGTCAAAATTATAATTTTATGATAACGCAGAGCTTCTTTTTTAAAATCCTCACCCTGAAATGAAAAGAAAGAATCCTAAGACACTACATTTTATATCCCTTAAAAACAAGCTAAACAATTGGAATCAATATAAAAAAAATGAATACCTTCACCCCAAGTCCTAGAGCAAGAATGAGATTCTGGATCTCTTCATTTTTGTACATGGAAGCTTCATCCTTCCTTTCAACATTCAAGATTTTACCCCGTAAAGGAAGAATGGCCTGCACAAACAAGTGAGTTAATATTCTAGTTTCTGAAGTTTGGATGTTTTAAAAGTGAAATACTTATACGATAACCAATCTAGTGGAATCATAAATCCAGACATCTGATTCCAAGAAGGCATAATTAATACTCCATAAAACTCAAACCATCTATCACCTACTTTCATAATGTATGAAGAACTTTCATGTAAGATATATATATATATATAGAGAGAGAGAGAGAGAGAACTTATCTCATCAATCCGGACTGACCGAGAGTGCCGTAGGGCCTAGCCCATTTTAGGTGCTTCCGGTTGGAATTTTTTATGAAATTTTATGAGCATGTTCTTCATCAAATGTAGATCATGTCCACAAAATTTCAGCTTAAAACTCAATCTAGAAGTCAGTGAAATAAATTATTGAAAAGCTAGTGTGTTTCAATAATTTATTTAGCTGACTTCCAGATTAAGTTTTAAGCTGAAATTTTGTAGACATAATCTACACTTGATGAAGAACATGCTCACAAAATTTCATAAAAAAAAATCCACCCGGAATCACCTCAAACGGTCTTGGCCTTAGAGCACCCCCCGTCGATCCGGACTGATGAGACAAGTTCTATATATATAATTTTTTTCTTTTTTTTTCTTTTATATATATATATATAGTAGAGTTCCGGTCAGGAATTGCTGACCGGAACCGCCGTCTGGACGGCGATATTTGGGGCCCTTCCCGGTCGAATTTTTTGATGAAATTTTTATGGCATGTTTTTCATCAAGTCTAGTTTATCCACACAAAAATTCAGCTAAAAAATCAATCGGGAAGGTCGTCAAATGATTTTTACAAGATAACTGCGCCGGAAAATACATATAAAACGCAGTTAACTTCCAAAAAATATTTGACGACCTTCCCGATTGAGTTTTTAGCTGATTTTTTTTTGTGAATAAACTAGACTGGATGAAGAACATGCCATAAAAATTTCATCAAAAAATTCCACCGGGAACCGCCCGAAACGGCGGCGTCCGGACGGGGGTTCTGGTCCGGAATTCCGGACCTGAACTTTCTTCATATATATATATAGTACCATATCTTTTGCATACTTGGTGGTTCATTTCATACACAACTTACATAATAACATAGCAGTTTAGACTGCTGATGTTTTACCTGAAACCGCCGATCACGACCTTGTTTAGCACTTCCACCGGCTGAATCACCTTCTACAATAAATATCTCTGACAAAAAAACATATAACCATGATACGGAGTAATATTTTATGCATGCAACACTAAAGCGGAAGCAATGATTTTATAGAACATGGTAATGGGTAAATTTAAAATTAGTGACATATTATCCACCAGTCTCTTTCTTTTTACAATAACTATTTCATGAGATGCAAGATAAGTTTCAGGTGTGTGTTGATTGAGATGCAAAACACTGCTAGGGATGAATATGATTTATTTATTGGTATACACAAGAAATTGGAAATTTGAAAATCACAGAGCACGAACCTGAATTTATATACTTCTAGTTAGTGCTTAAAAACTCATACACATTTCCACACACAATCCTAGTCAATATGAGCCAATGATCTAGTGATTGAAATTTTGCCAAGTGGTCGGTTATTATGAAGGCTGGTGATGTAGGATGATAAGATGCAGGAACCTTGATTGCGGTGGTTTGGTCATGTGCATAGAAGATTGAGTGATGCACCTTTTAAATGAGTTGAGAGTTGGGGAGAAGAGGCGGGGAGGAGAGGGAGAGGAAGACCCAAACAGACGTTGATTAGAGACTACAAGTCTACAACTGATATGCTTCTTCTGGGGTTGAATGAGAATGTGGCTTTAGAGAGAGCAAACCAGAGGGCGAAAATGCGTATGGAGGATTTATCTCTTTTCTCTCTCTTTCTTTTATCTGTTTTTTCTTTATCTTTCTTATGTTATTTTTATCTTTTATCTTTCTTATGTTCTTTTATCTTATATTTATCTTTATCTTGTCATTTTTATCTTATCTTTTTATTTTCCTTATCCTTCTATCTTTTGTGGCTCCGATATCATGGATCAATTCATGTTAGCCGACAACAAAATCTTTTAGGAATAAGGGTTGGATGTTGTTGTTGTTGGTCGCTTATTATGAAGCATATTTTCAGCAGTGTTATTTATACGCAATTTTTAATTTCCGTAATTTGAATCTTCATTTGGATCTAACATCTAATCATACATACCAGCTTCCTCTGGGTCTGTAGCTGAGCAATCAGCAAGTTTCCCTGGAAGAGACGATGACTTTAAGACACTTTTTTGTCTTACCAACTCCCTAGCCCTTTTGGCTGCAAGGGCTGCCTAAATTCCAAAAACATGAGATTTGTAAAAGGTGTCATGCAAGCCAAATATATACCAAACACTGCTATATTTTAAGGGGCAATGTACCTTCAAGGCATTTAGAGACTTGGAAAGGATTGAATCAAGCACCCCAGGATGCAACTCCAAGTATTCAGTCAGATACTCTTGAACAGATTGTTCAACAGCCTTTCGTACCTCCGGATTTCCCAACCTTGTCTTCAAATAAAAGAAATAGAAAGGATTTATTAACAAGGAACCAAAAACTATCTGCAGAAATACCCAATTTAAGTTAAGTTGAATTACTGGAATACCTTAGTCTGTCCTTCTAATTCAGGATTTGGCACTTTGACAGAAATCACACAAGTCAATCCCTCTCTCACGTGCTCACCACTTAAGCTAATATCCTTTTCCTGGAAAAAGAAGAGCAAAACATTTCAGCCCCTAGATGCGCCTGGAAATTCATACCACCATAAAAAGATTAAAAACACTTTCAAAAAAATCATTATTTAAAGCTTAACCGTAATATAAAAAATGCATAACATATGCGCTAAGTAAGTTACTCACTTACTCAAGTCTTGGAAAACAGCGCATGTTGTCAAATTTATTAAATGCATTATCCAAGACTCGAAATCTGATCTATTACAGAATGGTTTGAGAACTCAGTATACTAGCCGTTGCATAATAGTGTCTATAAGACTATAACAACAGAAAAAGAACATCAGTGTGAATTCACATAAAACTTAATGATGAATGGAGAAGAAGGAAGCGAATGGCCATATCATCTGTTCATTTGCTTCATGCCAATCGATATAGAAACATAATCAGTATTAACTTATCGTGTCTAATATTTAACATGGCTATTCTGAATTGCTATCATTCTCTGTCCTTTCATTTTTTATTTTGATGTTTTGACAAAGAAGTTTCCAAAACCCAAAGAAAATTTTCTTTTGAAGGCTTATGCTTAACAAAATTTCCATATGAGCAAGAAAATTTAGTAAAAGAGTCTGGTTTAAATGCGCTCCTTTAAGCCTTGAGGCATTTTGCAGTTGTGAGGGAAGGCATAAACCTCGAGGCGGTTTGAGGTGTAATCCTCAAACTTCATGCAGATTTTCCTTAACAATTCAAAATTATTAACATCCTTAAACATTTTTGCAGAAAAATGAATCATAAATAAGTGTCATAGACCCCTATAATAAGTTTAACTATTTAAAGATGAGTATCTAAGATTTGTTATCCTAGATAAAATCAGAAAAAGTTTTGAAAACTATAAAAGATATGGCTGGAACATTGAAATCTTGATATTCTGGATCAAATTGAATAAAAAGACAAGGTTAGAAAAGTTAAGTTATGCTGCTATTTTTTAAATAAAAACAAAAAACAAATAGCTGGAGTTGTTTGAGTTATTTGGACCTTGCTGTAAAGAAGAATGCTAATAGTAGCTCAGTAGCTTTGCATCTTTGCAATAAATGTTCGCACTTCTGAAGGAGTGCAAAGTAGTCGTAACCTTGTAGGCTATGTTAACTTTATAAGTAGAGCTGTGGGGTGATAATTGTTTATGTTGGCAAATATATATAGGGGCTTTATGGGCTTAGTGGTTAAATATTATAAAATAATACATCGAAAGAAAAAACATACATCCAGTATGAATTATATTAAAAAAATCAGCCTAAGAAAAGACCTAAAATAAAATTGAAGAGTAAAAAAGATGCTTAAGCCTCACAAATGCCTCAACCATCTGAGGCATAGCCTCAGTTGATTTGCTTGAGGCTTAAGCCTCAAAGCTTTTCTTCACCGTTTCACACTGAGCCGAGCCTCAAAAAAGCCTATTTAAACTATACTCGGTAGTACCATCTCTGTACCCATAGTTGAATGTCCATGTTTCCTTTTATGTCATCTCCTTAAATAGGAGGTGTAAATAAATTCCCTATAACTCAAGAAAACTGGACCCAATCTATTTTTAATATTTTGGTTTGGTTGTTCATATATTATCACGGATTTGTTGCCTACGTGAAATTAAAATTGAGCTAGCAATCTATACTGGGGTTACACACTATTAAAACTAGGGTTACATTTGACTAAGCCATACTAAACTCCCACTTTTAGCCGAATTGAGATTGAATTAAAATTCAATTATTTTACTAGGAAATACATGAGAGAGAATATATGATTCACCTTAATTGTCTTTGACTTTTTCCCAAGACTGTTGACTGTTCTTGTCAATGAAGCCTTTAGACCCTCTATGTGAGTACCACCATCAATTGTCCGTATGCTGTTGGCATATCCTAGCATTGTATCTGAATAGGCATCTGAACACCTAAATAGGCAAAAACAAAAAGTAAAAAATAGGTTTTCAGCTTTCAATTTAAAGTCCATACTAATTTAAAACTCAAAAGTCAGTAACATCACATATAAGATTTTACCATACCATCTATGATATCTAATATGTTTGTTCTGCAAAGAATGCTCAGGAAGCAAACAAAAACGTATCATGAAGCAAAAGGTTATAACATATACCACTGAAGTGCTGCGTCAATTGATACTCCGTCTACTTCTCTTCTGAATGACACCACATCATGCAGAGGTTTCTGAACCAGAGATCTGTCAGTGATTACCAAGATTTGGAAAGAATAGAAAGAAACTTTCAGCAGATAATGATTCGCATCAACAAAGTATTATATGAAACCAAGATTTGCAATGTAAAACATATTAAAAATAATTTTTAGTGGTTGACACTTGACACTTGACAGTTTCACTGACATCAACTCAATCATCAATATGAATACTCCCTGTGTCTCCCTGCGAAATCAGTGCATCACTAATTTCAAGTACATGTTGACAAGATATTATTTAGAAAAATAAATAATAAAGACCTCAGTGAATATTTTATGTGACTTTACGGTTCAGTAAGTGTTTGAGGTGTACATGACTAGCAGACCTTTTAACTGCTGTTTGCGCATTCTGGTACACGTATAAAAGTCTACAAAGTGTTAAATTACCGATCAAATATAGTTTATGTTTAATGTACAACTATCTATTTTAAAAAAAATATAGTATGATTGGTACTGTTGTGTTATGGCTGGTCAAAGCAACCGTATATGGGTTGGGTAAGGTTTTAAGGTCATGACCTGCCCACAACCCATGATGGATTGGAGTAATTGGACTATGAGATTCATATACTAAAGAAGAACATGAAGTGTACAACAGTAGCCTAAAAACAGACAACAAATAAGTAAAGAAAATGAGCCGATGAGCATACCTTATCTGCATTCAACCATTTAACATACTCAACCAATCCTCCAGCATAGTAGAACTCACTGTATTGGTTTTTTTCTGGGTCAACATCCTCCTTACTCAAGGCAATAATTAGCTGCAAAACAGAAGAAAAGGTAACTAATAACATACAAGCATGTGGAACTTTTTCCCATGCATTATAAGGTAAATTTTACTTGAGCACAACTTTAACCTTGAGTCTAGTACAAGGAGTAGCAAAAGGGAGAAAATGCTTACTTAAAGGTACAATGCCCTAGAGGATGCAATATATGCTCCTGAAGCATTCAAAGAATAGTACCTCAGGGTTAAGAAAAGCAAGCTCCCTAATACGTCCAGCCAGAATGTTGTAGTCAAACTCTATTTCTGTTGTGAACACTGGATATAAACAGTCAAGTTAGACAAACATGGCCATAGTTCAAAATACCATACACAAATATCATAAATTTTGGAAAAGGAATGCAAAATATGAGGGTGCAACTCACAGTCCCCCCCCCCCCCCCTTCTCCTCACAAATATCATATACATTTACAGTTTCCCACTTGTAAACGTGTGCTAAGTACTATCAAGATTTCGCATAAGTGAACATCTAAAACCCCACAAATCTTAATTCCATTTATGAAACACAATAGAACATAAAATAACAACCTTCTTTATCAGGCCAAAATCGTATGGATGTCCCCCGACGATCTCTCTGCCCAGCTGATAATTCATGACAGATCAAACTTGTTGTAGGCTTCCCACGTGAATATTTTTGTTTGTGTTCCTTGCCATCGCGCCAAACAATTACTTCTAGCTCCTACAAGAAGATTAAATACTCAATCAAGAGATTGAATATGGAGCCTATTAATATCAAACATAAGCAGAGTAAAATGACAAGATTGGCCTAGTAGTTAAGAGAAGTAGTTAACTACAAGTCAGCAGTTTTATTAAGTGCCACTTTCTATCCAATTTAACAAAAACTGGAAGCATTTTATATCTAAACCAAAAGCAAGAGTGTCTATCAGGGGAGTGAGAGATAAAACACCTTCCAACTTAAAGCTCTCTATTCTCTCTTTGAAAATTATAGAACTCAGATAGCAAGCCACAAAATTCATTACATCCACTTAATCTGTCAAACATTTGGTTTTGGCCCCTAACAAAGCTTATAGCCTTATATGTCAAATAATATAACCGTGAACACCAGAAACACCTCAAAGGAAGCTAATTTTGAGATAGGTATAAAAGGAAAGTGTCTAGATTTTAGAATATATAAAGTTGACAAAGGTAAAAGCAATATCTATAGTCCATGCTCTTAATGGAAATTCTGAGAAGTTACATAAATAAGCACATGGCATTTTTGCCATCCTTACAAAGATAACATTTTTTCACTTTCATCATTTTTAGCTTTTGACAAGAGTCCAAAAGTGCTCCCTGCAATCTAATAAACTAATGTTGTCCTGTTTTAAAATCAGATACTCTGATTTTTCAATTCTACGCCTCCTTTCTAAAATCAGATACTCTGATTTTAAGTTCACCTCCATCATAACATGCCTTTTGTCATTTATTTCAATGAAAGCTTATTTTATTGGATTTTAAAAAAATGAAATTAAGAATTGTAATTTATTAACATTTTCATAAATTTGGAATCTTAACAAGCATAATTCAAGGTTACAGTTAGTATTTACAACTAGTGAATCACATCATTAAATATTAAGATGCACAAGTTGGCATGACTCCATACCTTTTGGAGTTTTGGCATTATTTTAAAAACCTGAAGCTGAAATATGTTTGAACATGCTAAACAGTCAACACTCAACAGTTATCTAACGCATCTCACATCGAGAATAGATAAAACCCCTTTAACCATTATGTCCCCTTAAGTCTTCAAGGATATGCACGGAGACTAATGAACCTATTCATTAAGGAAGCAACTAAAAGAACTCAAGCTTGACATGGACCATCAAAGTGAGCTAAAAACAGTTTGTGTGAAAGATATTCACATACAGTATGATGGCATGTACCTCTGACAGTGCGTTGACAACTGAAAGGCCAACACCATGCAATCCACCTGAGACAGTATATCCACTACTTGTGCCTCCAAACTTGCCACCTGCATGCAGAACCTGCACCATTCCACAACCGCGTGTTAGGTGCTCAAACCATCTCTGAATTTAAAAATTTACTAAAAGTGGAGCTCAAAGCAAAGGCATAAGAGGGAGCACCAAAAAATCACATGAAAAGTTAAATCCATAATTTACCTCAAAGAAACACATTTTATGTTCTGAAATAAACTCAAATTAACACAATAGTTAAGACTAGTTTCAGTAGCTAGTAATAATTTACCGTCAGAACAGTCTCCAAAGCAGATTTTTTTGTCGTTGGATGCAAGTCAGTTGGAATCTGGAAAGATAGAGGAAACATATGAAGAGATAACAGCAATGAAAGGAACACAGGGCAGCTGCAATTCACAATAGCAATGAAAAGGTAGGTATATTCATCATCTTACTCACATATAGCTATAAGGATTTCCATCATTTGCAATGGAGCCAAAGATTCATTATTTTTTGGCTTGAGATTATGATGGAATAAAGCAAAATGGCTCAGTAAACTGTCTGCGCTTCTTTGTAATGAAGCAGCAGTCAGTCCATGCAATTTTGGACGCGATTTTCACTATGGGTCATCCGGAAACAGTCTCTCTGTGCTTTAGTATAGGGGTAAGACTGCGTACATCCGACCCCCCCTTACCCCACCGTAGGTGGGAGCCTTTGCGGCACTGGGGTAAATGAAAATGATGAAAATGACTCACATATAGCTATAAGGAATAAAAAAACATTCAATTAATTATCTTATTGGCAGCATTAAGATAATAAGATGCAACAAGAATGTACATTCCAAAAATAGCGCTATTAGATTCATACTAAAAAGGACATCAAGCTTTTCTAGAATATAGGTCAGCACCAATAATCTTTTCAACAAAATCCCAATATTCGTATGAGAAGGTGTGTCTAGTCAAGTTATGCTGGATTTTTTCTGGTTCCACAACCACAAGTCAACAACTAAGCCGTGAAGAATTTTTAGGATATGTGCTCATTTCTCATTTTCTTATGCAAAATAGGTTTAAAAAAAATTTCACATAAACGATCATTATCATGTTGTGCATTACGTGCTATTTGTGAACAACAACAACAACATCCAAGCCTTAATCCCAAAAGAATTTGGGGTCGGCTAACATGAATCGATCTATGATATCGATGCCAAAAAGAGAAGGCGGACAAGAAAAGGAAAAAAAAAGTAAGATAAAATGAATAAAATAAAGATACATAAATATAAGATAACAATAACACAAGAATATAACCAAGATAAAAGAAAAATAAATAAAAGAGCATAAAAAAGCTAGAAGATAAAAATAACATAAGAATATAAAAAGCTATTTGTGAACAGTTGTCTAAAATCATAATAGATTAATAACAGTGTAAAAGGAAGTAACAAGAGTATGACAGTATTTTGTGAAGATAAAAATTAGTTCATACCCCACGACCATTGTCAGTAATGCTCACTGAGTTGTCGGCATGCAAGACAACATCTATTTTTGAAGCACAGCCAGCTTGAGCTTCATCTACAGCATTATCCAATATTTCATATACCTAAAGTAGTGAAATGAAAAAATCATTATTACAATCAGTTTACAGGTCAACTTAAACTAGTGAACAACAATCAAAGGCAAAACATCACATACCAAGTGATGCAGTCCACGAGTTCCGGTGCTTCCGATATACATTCCAGGCCTTTTTCTAACAGGATCTAAACCTTGCAACACCTAAAAGGAAATTAGGTTCTGAAATATTGATATGAAAAAATGGTTTACGCCATTCTTCTATTAGAGCAAGGCAGTATATATTTAAACAATGTTGATATGGATGCAGAAAAATATGGACATGTAAAGACCCTTCATACAATTTCTCTCATTTTTTGTCTTAACAAAAAGGAAAAGTGTTCCAGCTTAAAGCAACTCTCTTGATAAGAAACATGAATAAGAGAAATTTACTCGGTAAGAAACAGCACATAACAAATGTAATATCCGAAGCTGAAATTCCACACTTACAATGTATAAATATAACGAAATGTTTGTGTGACATAATCACCATGCCTGATTGGTATGAATCCCATCAGGTTTTACAATTCAACCTAAGGGACTCTAATTTCAAAGAGAGTGTACTTATCCAATTTATTCATTACATCCATTTGGTGACTATATTGAACATAACAGTAAACACTGTCCACGTTCAAACACCCAATCATTAATTGCATCTGAATTTTTACTTAATAAAGCATATAGCTCAAGGAAAAATGAAAGTTAAAAACTTCTGCACACAAAGATCAATCGTCACCTGAATCTGTTCGGAACCATAATCTTTCGAGCCAGTTCCTTCTTTAAAAGCTTCCATGGCAATGCTTGATGACATAAAAGATTTAGTACATAGAACACTGCCAAGTAAATCTCTATTTAGATGCCTTCTCAAGCTAGCACTTCTCCTGATACAGTAGCACAACATTTTACAAACAAACAACCCACAATTGAAGGGGGGAATCCCTCCTTATCCAGGTTGCATACACCTCGTAGTATTACTCTGGAACAATAGTCAAATATATCTCACGTAATGCCACAATAATTAATTTTTGAACGAGTAACTTCCCTCTTAGATAAGAATTTGCGGTATTCAGCAATTTAGCACCCCACTAATCCAGACTTCAGAAAACTACAAGATTAATGCAAAGAAGAAAAAATATACGTATACCTGAAGTTGGTAAGAATTAGGGATGGACTGGAAGCAGCTAAAGAGGGAGAGAGAAAAGGAGAGTAGGTGTGAGGGTGAGTCAAAAAACAGCGATTTGCCATTAATCGCACCGAGTGTCTAAGCAGTGAAGTAGAGGGGGAGAAAGCTCTCAACAGAGCCATTCATTCAAACCGAGCTCCAAATTCACAGATTACACAAATGAGAGCTATTTGGCGGCTTCTGCTTGTGCTTCTAAAAATTCTGAGTTCGAACAGAACCAGAAAATTGCTTCCAATAAATACTGTTGGTAACTGGAGCCTTATTTTCGGTAAAATTAAGCTTGCATAAAAAAATTTAAGTCATATTTTTGTACTTCTTTTCTTCGAAATATATACTACCTCAGTTCCGGTGGACTTTGTCATTGCAAAGTAGGTGATAAATAAGAATAGTAAAAATTGTGTGGTTGAAATTTGTACAGAAATGAGACAAATGTGCAGAACAACAAATTAATTGCTTTAATAGGAAAGTGACAAAATTTTTTGGGACAATCAAAAATAGAAAATTGGCAAAACCCAATGGAACGAAGGAGTAAAACATTGTTCTTTAATTTGATTTTGAAATGGGCGCTAACTCTATTTTTGACAAATTTTATGGTAAATTTGATTTCTTTCCAAAGTAAAGGTCATTTTCAAAATTTACTTTTAATACTCTGCTTTTAAGTTTCGACTATAGTGGAAAATAATCCTTTATGATTTCATAAAAAAGGGTGGTCGTTGTCTAGGGTTACGCCTATGGGTTGTTTCCGATGATGCTTCTTTCATTACGGCCTCAATAATCCGGACACAATTCAGTGCTTAACCGACATACTTCAGGCACACGGGCCATCTGTCGTCTTCTTGATGGAGATGAAAGTGCGCTGCCTAAGGGCGCATGAGATATTGCAGCACCGTGGGTATTCGCAAAGCTTATGGGACGGACAGTGATGGGGCAAGCGGTGGTCTCGTAATAGCATGGAATGATGATGTCAAGCTTAACATGGCGGGCAACTATCTGAATCACATCGATTGCAAGGTCAGGTTATCAACGGAGGAGCAGTGTTGGAGGCTAACCAGCTTTTACGGCTTCCCGGAGACAATAAGGATGTTTTTACTTGGACTGTGATTCCTTCCAGACCAGACCAGACCTGGATAGTTATAAAAATACAAAGAAACCAGACCAGATCAGACCAGACCAGACCAAACCAGCAAATTACAGTCCAAGTAAAAACATCCTAAGACGACGAGAGGCTTTGGATCTCTTACGGAACTTGGCAAAGGAGCATAGCCTTCCTTGGTTACTATTTGGGGATTGCAATTATATTTTGTATGAGTCCAAGAAGAAAGTGTGAATTCTGCACCCGACCTCGAGACTGCGGGGCTTTTCTAACGGTCTTAGAGATTTCCCGGTCGATGGATATCAATGGACGTGGGAAAGAGGCAGAGGTTCAATATTTTGGGTGGAAGAAAAGTCGGATATAATTCTTGTAAATGACGACTGGTGGAATATGTTTATGCCAGTAGAGGCTCCCGCTAACGATCATATGGCCTTATGGATAAAAATCCTACCAACTTCATTGCATCAACACAAAAAGGGGTTTAAATTTGAGAATTGGTGGCTAAGCGAGGAGGTTGTCGTACGGTAGTCACAAATAGTTGGGGGGCAGCACCCATATGTCTATCAGTGATAAAATTTCTTTCTATGGAAAGGAACTTCTCAGATGGGACAGTGGGAGAAGAAAATGATTTAGATATCAAATCCAAGCATGCAAATGAAGGTTGAAGTGGCTACGAGATAAAGTTGATAACAGAAGTGTGGCGGAGTTCCTGCGTGTAAGATCGGTTCTAGAAGCATTGATGGAAAAGGAAAACCTTTTCTGGAGGCAGCGCGCTAAGGAATTTTGGTTAAAAGAACACGATATCAATTCTCGATTCTTTCATAATGCTGTCAAACAACGAATAAGGAAAAATAAGGTGACTGGCATCATGCTAGCCGACGGGACGTGGGCCACGCAAAGGGAAAGAGTGGGAGAGACCATTCTTGAGTATTTCACTAACATTTTCCAGGCCGCGGCAGAAGGGGGTATAATGGAGGAGATGAGAAACATGACAATGGTCACCAACCTACATAATAGGAGGTTGCTCCGACTGATCTGTCCAGAGGAAGTTAAATCGGCAATATTTGGGATGCATCCGGAGAAAGCACATGGGTCAGATGGTATGAATCAACCATTTTTTAGGCCTTTCTGGAACATTGTGGGCCCCGGGGTCTATAGACACTATGCCTCCATATTTGATACAGGTTCTCTTCCATCGAATTTAAATATTACTAATATTATTTTATTTGCGTAAAAAGAGAAACCAGTCAAAATAAGGGACCGGAGACCAATAGCTTTGTGCAATGTGGTCTATAAAAAAGTTTCCAAGGTCTTGGCTAACCGACTGAAGGAATTTTTGGGTTCTCTAATTGGGGAAAATCGAAGTGCTTTTATTCTGGGCAGGTCTATAGTTGATAATATTATTGCGGAATTCGAAACCCAACATTTTTTAAAGCGAAAGTGTTATGGTAAAGAGAGTTTTGTTGCTCTTAAGCTGGATATGAGCAAGGCCTACGACGGGGTGAGTTGGTCCTTTCTGAGGGATATCATGCTTAGACGAGGATTTGAGGAAACATGGGTGAATGTTAATGCAGAGTGTATCCACCGTGAGCTATTACGTGCAGTTTGATGCATGGGGATTATTTGGGGCCAATTCATCCAGGTAGAGGACTCCGTCAAGGCGATCCTTTATCCCCATATTTATTTATTCTTGTAGCGGATGGACTAAACGCTATGCTGAGAAAAGCGGAAGCTAGGGGGACATTCATGGTGTTGTGGTTTGTAGGGGAGCACTAAAAGTCTCTCATCTACTTTTTTGCGGATGATAACTTTCTTTTCTTTGAAGCTTCTAACAATGAATGCAGTGCAGTAAAAAATATATTGCATGTGTACGAGAGCTGCTCGGGACAGGCTGCGAATTTTACTAAGTCTACTATATCTTTTAACAAGAATGTGGGGGAGGGGGGGGAGCTTTTAGAGACTACTGCAGTCAGAGTCTCGGTGTGTCGAGGAATAGCGGTCAGGATCATTATATTGGTCTGCTGGTCCTTGTTAGAAGATGTAAAACTACTATTCTTTGTTATTTACGAGACATGATTATTACTCAAATTAAACATTGGAATAATAGATTCTTGTCAAGAGCCGGGTGTGCCGTTTACTTCGAAATGTTATTCAGGCAATGCCCACGTATGCGATGGATGTGTTTCTTCTTCCTAAGGAATTGTGTGATGGAGTGAAGAAATTAATGAATGTGTTCTGGTGGAAGGGGTCTAAATTCGACCAGAAAGGGTTAAGATGGAGGCGGGGGAGTTGTTATGCAAGCCAAAAAAATGTAGGGGGACTGGGGTTCAGGAGACTCAGGGAGTTGAACGTGGCTATGCTAGCCAAACAAGGTTGGAAGCTAATTACGGATACTGAGAGTTTAATGGGGCGGGTACTCAAGGCTCGTTATTTTCCAAATACTAGCTTCTTGCATGCAAAAGTGGGGAATAATTCATCCTTTATTTGGCGAAGTATTTTGGAGTCTCATTCGGTGGTTGAACGGAATGTTAGGCAAAGAACTGGTAACGGCAGGGATATACAAGTATGGGCGAACGCTTGGTTACCAGGACAAGTACGGGGGGATTCAATCTGAGAAACCAGTAGGAATTTTTGACATGAATGTTGCAGCTCTGCGTTTTATCCATATTCAGTGAGGATAGCGATAGGATTTTGAGCATTCCTATCAGTCTCCATGATAGACGGGGTGGGCATTGGTCGACAAGAGAAAAATATGGGCGCTTCTCGGTCAAAAGCTGCTAACGAGCATTGGCAGACTGTCCGGATAATGGCGGCTAGGGGTTGGTCTGAATGGGCAGCCCCATGGGAGTTGCATATTCCCCCCAAAATTAAATATATGGGTTGGCTGGTGTTCGATGGATCTTTACCCTTCGATGGAAATTTTACATAGACGTGGGGTGGAGTTACCAACGGATTGTAAACTGTGCGGTGAAGCTCTAAAATCCACGAATCACGTGCTCAAATCTTGTGACAAAGTTCGGAATGTTTGGCAATTGAATGGAATTGATTTGGGTATTCATGATGAATTGTTGATTGATTGGTTGCACAAACATAGAGCGGTCGTGCAAGGAAGAGAGGAGGAGATTTGTTATGTCACTGTGGAGCATTTTGAAGAGGCGAAATAACCTAGTTTGGGGGATGACAAATGGCTTGATTCGGTGACACTAATAAATGGGGCGGCAAGGATGTTATCTTCTTGGAGAGATGCTCAAGGTATGGGAGCTAAGCCGGAAAACAGGGAATGGGGAACGAAGCTATGTGGGTCCGATCTAGGCGTGGGGCGGTCAAAATTAATGTTGATGTTGCCGTTAATATGCCATAAGAGATTAGAGCTTGGGGATGGATATCACATAATGATGAAGGTGGATTTCTTAAAGAGGGTGGAGGATCTAGGAAGGCAAGGTGGTCACTAGCGGAAGCTGAGGCAATCGACATCAGAGAGGCCATTGGAATAGCTAGCAGGGAAGGATGGAATTATGTGATTATCGAGGCTGATGCTTAGGCAGTCGTACAAGGATGGAGATGGCAGCTCATACACAAATTTGATAGTGAATGATATTCGACCGTTACTTATAACAAAGAGTAATATTAGTATCTCTTTTTGTAGACGCTCTGCGAATCGTGCAGGTCATGCTTTAGCTCGGGCTCACGTGTCTATCCCAGACCAGAGTAGTACTTTTACAGTTATTCATGATTATCTTGTAAGCTAGGTGGCTAACGATATGATTTTATGATAGTAATGTCAGTCTTTCGCTAAAAAAGTCTCGACCGTAGTGAATGAACGTTCTAATAGACACGACAAGACGTCAAGGCCAAACACGAAGTCTTTAAAGTTTACCCGAGATTAGGCGATGAAGCATATCTATTGATGATTGATTTTTAAGTGATATATGAAAAATAAATAAATGTCCGAAATATATTATATATAATTTTAAATTTAAAAAAATTGAATACAAAATGGTATATTGTTTCTTTTTTCTACTCCAGACTAGATTTCATATATAACATGTTTATAAAATTATTATTTCAAAATTTAATAAATTTGTTCTTTGCAAAAAAATAAATCATCTAAAAAAGTTCCGCCTTTTCACGCCTAAGCACGCCTAGACTCCACTTTTTGCCGTGTTTTTGTACAGTGACTATGACACGAAAGACAATTTTAGTACGTGTGTTTGAAACAAAAGACAATTTTAGCACGTGTATTATCATAGTAATATTTTTAGTCCTTCACTTGTTGTGTCGAGTCATAATAGGATTAAAGATATCATTTTGACAACACTCATTGGATTAAAAGTTGACAATTTTGCGCCAACGACAAAAAATCTAGACCTTTTCTAGCTCTTAGTATCATGTTAGTGAACATTTGATACTCAATTTTTAATTTTACCATTTTTAGTGAGTGTAATTTTGTTCACCCATTTTCCCTGACTGCCATATGACATTTCATCTCATTTTTTAAATGTATCACATATGATTATTATTTAAGATCTTTCTGATTGTATCAATATCTTGTATAAAAATTGGGAAAAATAATCTTTTTTCAAAATATCTTGTTTTAGTTTTTTTTGTTTATTTTTCAAATTTTGGTACTATATGAAAAGATTGTAAAAATAAAATAAACTTGATGTATATCTATAAAAAAATGAATTAAAAATGAAAAAGTTAAACAAATGTTGCTAGATGATAAAGAGTATTGTGCGAGAGCCCGCTCCTCACAACTAGGGTAAGAGTGAGCAAAATTGATTTCATTTTTAATCGTTCGACTATTGTGCGACAGTTACTCATAATCATCGTATTAGGATAAGAGTGAGCAAAATTGATTTCACTTTTAACCACTTGAGTGTTTCAAATTCCACATTTCTAATCATTCTACTATGAATTGGACACAACAAACACATGACTAAAAGTATTACCATGATAACATTTGTAGGGTTTAAAAATGTCACTTTTTAGAAGTCCAATGTCAAAACTTGAAATGACCTCTCATTCAAAGAGACCTCTCGGTCAAAGGGAAATGGAATTTACACTATATTTTGTCAAAAATCAAACTAAAAAATAAAATCTAATAATTTTTATGAAGGAAAAAAGTACAAGAAATGAATTATTTTTTTTATATAAGCTTAAGATGTTTTTATTTAAATTTTTTATTCTGTACCAAATCAACCATATTTAATCATGTCAAATTTAAACAGACCATATCATACATATACCAGATCAAATCATACTCCGTATCAAATTAGGCAAAAACTAGATCAGACTACACTATTGAATTTAACTCTAAATAAAAACCCTCGTGCTCCGCGCGCCATCAAATTGGCCATGCGCACCAATTTTTTGATCAAGTTGGTCAATTATGTCCTTAAACGGATTCACCCTACGGTACTAGATGCTACGCGCACCTCCTATTCTCCTAGCCTAAGTCAAACACAGCCGTTTTTTTGACCATGTTGCTTTCTAAATCACTAAAAGATTTACGTAGTAGTTTTTAAAAAAGGTTTTTATATTTCCAAAATTTTGTATTACATGTTTCCAAATACACTTAAATTCCTAATACAATTACAATTACACTTTCTAACAACCATCAAACAATTACTATATAAATATTTGGAACCCATTACTAATGCTTTTATAATTTTTACAATCTTCTCATACAATGGAGGATGAATCTGAGAATTATCTAAAAAATAGTTCTCTTGATTTTCACACTTATGAGGTATTCATCTTTATGGTGATTTCACATTACGGTCACATATGTTACATGACAAGATTTATGGTGTGAATGGTATTTAGGATGTTTTTAATTGAACTGATTTCAAACGAGATAGATTCAAACAAATAGAATTAGATCTGACTACACTAGATTTAAACAATAGTAAATATACATTTATCGACCTTTCACGAAATTGACCAGTTTTTTTAAAAAAAATTACATATATGATATGGGTATCATATGAAAGATCATAAAAAGATATTTAATTTGGTATAATTTTTATAAAAATTGAAGCAAAATGAAAAAGTTATGAAATTTTATATAAAAATAAATTTGAATGCCACATGACAGCAATTGATTGGATGTATATTTAATGCAAAATTGATATGAGCAAGGGAGAAGGGAGCCTACCGTGGAGTGGAGCAAGTAATTTTAATTAATTTTTTAATTAGACTTAATTTTTATTAATAATTAAGAAGGCCAAATTTGTCCATACGGATTACGTTAATCAATTTTGGGGTGCACGAAGCAAGACCCAATAAAAACAAATGTAAAAAAAGTCTAAATAAAACCAACTTTAATTTTAAAGAAAATCAGGCTCTAAATCAGTAAATCCTGGAATTACAAATTTCTGGTAATCTTCCTGCTCGAACTCAAAATTTTTAGAGCAGAAGCCGCCAAAATTTTTGGAGCTCGGTTTGAATGAATGGCCCTGTTGAGAGCTTTCTCCCCCTCTTCTCTGCTTAGTCACTCGGTGCGATTAATGGCAAATCCCTGTTTTCTGGCTCACTCTCACACCTGCGCTCCTTTTCTCTCTCCCTCTTTCGCTGATTCCCGTCCGTCCCTTCTTCTTACCAACTTCAGGTTTACGTATATTCTTTTTTTTTTTTGCATTAATCTTGTAATTTTCTGAAGTCTGGATTAGTGGGGTTCTAAATTGCTGAGTACTGCAAATTCTTATCCAAGAGGGAAGTTACTCGTTCAAAAATTAATTGTTGTGGCTTTACGTGAGATATATTTGGCTATTGTTCCAGAGTAATACTACGAGGTGTATGCAACCTGGATAAGGAGGGATTACCCCCTTCAATTGTGCATTGTTTGTTTGTAAAATGTTGTGCTACTGTATCAGGAGAAATGCTAGCTTCAGATGGCATCTAAATAGAGATTTACTTAGCAGTGTTCGATGTACTAAATCTTTAATGTCATCAAGCATTGCCATGGAAGCTTTTAAAGAAGAAACTGGCTCAAAAGATTATGGTTTCGAACAAATTCAGGTGACTATTGATCTTTGTGTGCAGAAGTTTCTAACTTTAGTATCTCCTTGAGCTATATGCTTTATCAAGTAAAAGTTCAGATGCAATAAATGATTGGGTGTTAGGATGTGGACCGTTTTACTATTAAGTTCAGTGTAGTCACCAAATGGATGTAATTAATAAACTGGATGCGTACGCTCTATGAAATTTAGAGTTTCTTTTGTGAACTAACAAAGTGCTGATAAGCCATTCTTGTCCATCAAACACATTTCTCTTAGGTTGAACTGTCAAATGACTCAAACCTGATGGGATTCATACCAATCAGGCATGGTGATTATGTCTGACAAACATTTCGTTATATTTATACATCATAAGTGTGGAGTTTTAGCTTAGGATATAACATGGGTAATGTGCTGTTTCTTACTGAGTAAATTCCTCCTATACATGTTTCTTATCAATTGAGTTACTTTCTACTTTACCGTTTTTCCTTTTTGTCAAGACAAAAAATGAGAGAAATTGTAAGATGAAGGATCTTTATGTGTCCATATTTTTCTGTATCCATCTCATAATTGTTTAAATATATATACTGCCTTGCTCTATTAAAAGAATGGTGTAAAACTTTTTTCATATCATTTTTTTAAAACCTTATTTCATTTTAGATGTTGCAAGGTTTAGATCCTGTTAGAAAAAGGCCTGGAATGTATATCGGAAGCACTGGTCCTCGTGGACTGCATCATCTGGTATGCGATATTTTGCTTTTGATTGTTTTTTTCATTATTTGGAATATTACACGTTCATCTCTCTCCATCCATCCTATTTAAACAAAGTGAGAACATGTAATATTCCAAATAGGAATGTGAAACAAAGTAGGATGGAGAGAGTAACATGTAATGTTCCAAATAGGAATGTGAACCCAAAAATGAAAGTGATAACACTAATATGAAACCAATGGATCATCAGCATCATCATTTATTATTATTGTTATTATAATTACTATTATTATCATTATTATTATTATTATTTTCATCATGATCATACCAACAACCATCATCATCATTCTGTTTGGTTGTTCTCTCCATTTGACTAATCGATGATTTTTATGCAGAATTGTATCAATTCCGTCCCAGTTGGAATCTCCCCATTCTCGCATTTGTTCACCATCCTCATCAATTCGGCTAGTTTTTCTAAATCAATAGAAACTCAATCCTCTCATTCTGTAGTGGACCAAAGGATTTTGAATGAAATAATTTCTAAAATGGAGGAGTCACTGTCTGCTGGATATGAAATATGTCATGCATACACTCATAAACTATGCAGTAATGGAAATTTTCATGGTGCTGCTATGCTAATGCAGTCTTTGCATGAGAAAAATATTTTCCTTGGCCCATGTGCATACAATTGCCTCATCAAAGCAGCTGGTGAGCAGAATGATGTAAATATTGTTTGTCAAAGTTTCAAGCATTTGTTGGGGTCATGTGAATCAATCGATTCAACTTCCTATCACATCCTCGCCAAAGTATTTATAATGAAAGGTGATGATGCAAGCTTACTTAGATTTTGTAGAGAAGTCTGTGACCTAATACCTCAAAGAAATGTGACAACTATGAACAGGATTATCTATGCCTTTGCGAAGCATAGACAGGTGGAAAAGGCTATGCTGGTTTTTGGTCAAATGAAAACATCAAACTGCAAACCAGATTTGGTCACTTATAATACTGTTTTATATATTCTTTGTCAGACGGGTAGAATAGATGAAATGCTCCATGTGTATGCATCCATGAAGGAGGAAAATCTTGTTCCAGATATAATTTCTTTCAACACTCTAATAAATGGGTTCCGGAAGGTAGGCAGAGTAGAGTTATGTGTACTTTATTTCAAGGAAATGCTTGAGAAGGGAATTGAACCGGATTTGCAAACATATATTGCATTGATCGATACCTTCAGCAGATCAGGGAATATTGAGGAATCATTGAGACTTTTCAATGAGATGAAACACAATGGGATCTCCCCATCTATTCAAATTTACCAACTGCTAATTAGTAATCTAAAAAAGAACGGAAAGTTGAAGTTAGCTGAATCTTTCTCACAAGAGATGAAAGCATCACTTTCTGGTCTGCGTGATCCAAGAGATTTTAGAAGGAAAAAGACAGTTTCTGTGAACACTTCAAATTTGGATTCTAATTGGAGTTACACTCCACCTGCAACTTTTGATGCTTCCTCTCCTAGATCCACTTAACCGTGACACTGAAATTAACAAGTTTCCTGCTAATCAACTATTGATTAATTTAGTTTAGTTTAGTTCAGTTTAGACTCAACTATGTAATTGTTTTGTGTTTCTTTTGGTTGTAAGCAGAAGTACTTATGTAACACTTGGTCAAAATTTTAAATATTTTTACTCTTCAATGTGGTTTTGTTTTTGTTTATTAATTAAAGTTTTTCATCAAAGTTCTTCCCTGCAATTAGCTCTTCGATATTTGGTTTCCCCATTCTTAAGATTTAATCTATAATTCTATATAGACTGATTTGGTTAGGCATTTTAATTGTTCTACATAATAGCAAGACAGATTGACCTTTTCATTTCCCCGCACATCTTTCTCCACCGTGAGATTCCGTCTTTCTTATTAAACAATTCCTCTCCTTCCGCTGATGTAAATACAAAAACCGAGCAAGACGAAGTACAGGTGCGGTAAACATCTCCCTTCACCATAATTCCGAAAAAGATGTCCACAAATTGACCTGTTCTTCAATTCGTCTTTTGCTATGTTAAGGTATGTTTTTACTTTTTACAATTTTTTACGTTAGTGCTTGATTATTACTTGATTAATACTTTGCTTCACCAATCAATTTATGATTTTCTACTAATTATTTTTATATTTACAATATCAGTATTTAATTTATTAATTTGTTATCAGATGAATTTCTGATAAGGCAAAGTTGAGTTACCGTGAAAGCAGCTGCCCTCTTTCTGTTCAACGAAATGCCTAAGACATGGTCTCGGTGTCTCACACATCGCCGCTCTAAATCTTTTATTCCATCCCCACAGTTGAATGCTCCATATGTCTCCTCACTTGGTTTCATGTGTAGGCCCGTGTTAAATGTCTGCTGTCCTCTAAAATCTAAAATCACTGTAGTTTTAAAATCACTATATACGCATTGTAGTAGAAATAGGTTTAACAGTTTGGCTTATTTCTTAAATACATTTTTAATACTTTTACATACATACATTTCATGAAATTAGTCCCTTAAAAACAATAAGCTAAATAGTACGTAGTAGTTCCATAAATAAATTAAGGCCGTCATAATGTTAGTGTTTTGGTGAAAAGTGATGCTTTAGCAACAGAACTTGATTTGTGAGGTCTACCAAGTTAAACTTGCTTAACATAAACATGATGTTTACAAGTTTGCTTATTATTTGTAAAATACGACTCCAAATCATCAAGGTTTTTCCTTGAGCAAAATGACGAACGGAAGGACCATCATTCAGGCCAGCAACTGGCATCCATACATCGCAACACAATCACAAAAATATTTGAAGCTACAGCAGAATCCATTTTATAGTGGAATATATATATATATATATATATATATATATATATATATATATATAGAGAGAGAGAGAGAGAGAGAGAGAGAGAGAGTAAGGATAAAAAAAAAGTAAGGATCAAATGAGAATACTTCTTAACGTGAGAAATGAGAATGATTCTGGAGCTTTAGATTTTGGCATTGTGCATCAAGAGGGATCAATTTAAAACAATTATGTATATGGAAAGAGTTTTCCTAATTAGGAGCGGGCAAAGTTTGATTAAGGTATGTTATGTTTGTTTGATTATCTATCTGAAGTTTTAAATTGTGCAAGTCATTAGCTTTTTAAGATGTGTTATGTTTTATTGCCATTCTGAAAATTTTAGGTTGTTATTGATTCCATTTTTGTTTAATTGAGTCCTTTTTTGTTGTTATTGCACTATACAAATCCATGCTCTACTTGATTTTTGTATTAGAATAAAATATTATTGCTCTACTTAGCATTTTCTATGTTGAGTTTGCAGTTGAGATGTAGTGTAGATTGCATTTTTAATAATGGACCTATTATTTTTTAACTAGAGTGTTAAATATCTCCCATTTGCATAAAAAACCTTAGATAACCATTAAATACCAAATATTATACATAAAAGCACTACCCACCAAATCTTATACATAAAATATTAAAGAATTCATTCTGCTAATGGGAAAATAATTAAAAAACCCCAAACTGGGGTGTGAGATGAACACTCCGAACTTTCATATGTGATTTAAATACCCCAGAATTTATATAAAAAGTATTTTTAGCACCATAGTCAAGTATTATTTCTTTCAAAAATGTAAATTTATGGTGTTAATTGCATAATTTAAAATATTTTGGAATTCATGAAGACACAATTAACATTTTAAACTTCCATTGAGAAATAAATAATGTTACTCCCAATCTATATAATTGCAACACTTTTAATTTGCTATTTTAAATCATGCAATTAACCCCATAAATTTAAAATTTTGAAAGAAATAATACATGACAATGGTGCGAAAATAACTTTTTATACAAAGTTTAAATTACATATGCAAGTTTGGGGTGTTTACCTCACACCCCTTCAAAGTTTGGGATATTTTTATTAGTTTTCCCTTCTGCTAATCAAGTGTATAAGATTCTAAGACACTTTTTGGACAAACATATATAGTTACTATGGTTGATTTCTTTATAGTTGTCTGCACTGTACTGTGAAAAGCAACACCATTCTCCCATCTCTTTTAATGAATATATATTCTAAGTATCACAATAACATTTGCTAATATTAACTTCTATCTGGAAACTGTCCCTTACCCCACGTTCCCACCGTAGGTGGGAGCCTTTGCGTCACTGGGGTAATGATGATGATGGGAACTGTGTTTTGCTGCACATATATTGTAAACCTCAGTTCAGTAAAGTATCATGTGTGCCGACCTACTTTTTTCAAGTGTAAACAATTTATGGTTCTTCAAATCTATAATTCTTTTAGATTTTAACTGACCTACAATGACTTTTCAAGTGTAGTTTCATCAAAGCTATAACCGTAAACAATTTTTGGTATTTCAATTGATTAATGTTGTTAGCTAAAAGTTAACAGAAATAACTCCAAACATATCCTTCTTCAATTAGAAGTTATGAATATGGAGTGAGACACAATGCAGGTTTCAAGAGCATCTCTGTCATAATTTTCCATAAATTATTCAGAAATTGATTACTTCTCTATCCCTCGCCACTGTAAAGTTTGTTTTATATTTAGTATTTACCATTTACCATGTCATGGTGATTTTGGTCATATGTGTTATCCTTTTCATAATTTCTAAAATGTTATTAATGATAATTCCTTTTTTTACAGTATTGCACCTTGGTGATTTATGAACTTTTAAACCTAATGTTGACATTCAAGTAGAGTAAGACTTTTGTTGACATCAATGAATCAGTAAGTAAGGATTTCAAGGTGATGGTAATGGTAGTGTGAAGGTACGAATTGTATATGAACATGTGAACAAGATGTTAAGACTTCAAGTCTTGAAGATTTTCAAGCCATCTTAAAACTCAAAATAGCGAAGTTCAGCAGCCATGTGGTTGCTTACACACGTATCATGGCCTATGATTTTTCAGCCATCAATTCGCATAAGCATTTCTGCATGGCAATTTTGTTATCATATATTCATGGCGGACATGGTTTTGGCACTAGGAATGAGGCGGGAAAGAACATTTTGGATTTTGCCTTGACGTATGAGTTGGCTATAATGAACATTGGTTTAAGAAAAGAGACTCTCACCTTGTAACCTATAAAAGTGGAGCTAATAGTACCCAAATTGACTACTTCTTAGTACGGACCACTTGGAGAACTAGCTACACTGATTGTAAGGTTATTCCAGGTGAGAGTGTTGTCACTCAGCATAGGATGCTTGTGCTTGACTTTCGAGGTAAGAACCATAGAAGACAAGTTAAACAACAAGTGGAGCCAAAGATAAAGTGGTGGAGGCTTGAGGGAGATCTTCAACAAAGCTTTACACACAAAATGGTCGGTGAAGATGTATGGCGTATTGATAATGAAACACATGTGGATGATGTGTGGTTATCAATGGAGTTGACCATTAACAAAGTGGCAAAGGAGGTACTTGGAGAATCTAAAGGATGTCGGCCACCTAAAAAGGACACATCTTGGTGGAATGATGAGGTGAAACAAGCCATAAGGAACAAAAGAGATTGCTACAAAAAGTTGGGGACAAATTGGAGTGATGAGAACATAGAAGCATACATGGAGGCTAAAAGACAAGCAAAGAAAGCCGTAACGGAAGCACGATGGAAAGTGAACAAGGAGTTGTATGAAAAGTTGGACTCTAAGGAAGGAGAACTAGATATTTATAGACTTGCTCGTCTTCGTGATCGCAGAACTCAAGATATTGCAAAAGTTAAGTGTGTGAAGGATGTTGATCAGAGGATATTAATGGACGACGGAGAGATAAAAGAGAGGTGGAGGTCATACTTTGATACACTATTCAACGGGAACAAAACGCAAGATATCGACGATTTGTCCATACCAGATTGTATGGTAAACCGTGATTTTGTGAGAAGGATCCAAACAACGGAAGTTAAAGAAGCTCTGAGGAAGATGGGACGGAAAAGAGCAATGGGGCCAGATGGCATACCGATCGAGGCTTGGAGAAGTTTGGGAGAGAAAGGCGTCGAGTGGTTAACAAGTTTCTTCAACATGATTTGGAGAAACAACAAGATGCCAACGAGTTGGAGGAAGAGTACTTTTATCCCCTTATTTAAGAATAAAGGTGATGTACAAGAATGTGCCAACTATCGAGGGATTAAGCTTATGAGTCACACCATGAAACTTTGGGAGCGAGTGATTGAGCAAAGACTTCGAAGGACTGTGAAGATTTCAGAGAACCAATTCGGTTTTATGCCTGGTCGCTCAACAACTGAGGCCATTCACCTTCTTCGGCAACTTATGGAGAAGTATTGAGATGCTCATAAGGATCTGCATTTGGTGTTCATTGACTTAGAAAAGGCATATGATAGGGTACCTCGAGAAGTTCTTTGGTGGGCCTTAACTAGGAAAGACATATCACGCAAGTATATCAGCATCATCATGGATATGTATGAGGATTGTACTACAAGTGTTCGTACTAGTGCAGGGAGGACTGAAGAGTTCCCTATTACTATCGGAGTGCACCAAGGATCGGCCTTGAGTCCTTTCTTATTTGCCATAGTCATGGATGAACTTACGAAGTCAATTCAAGACGATATACCGTGGTGCATGATGTTTGGCGACGATATTGTATTGATTGATGAGACGCAATCAGGTCTTAAAGCAAAGTTGGAAGTATGGCGACA